GATTTAAGGTGGAATGAACGAATCTCACCCAACGACCCTGACTCCCGTTAAACTAATTAAATAATGAAAATTGGGCTAACTTCTCCAAAATGGAATTAGCTTTATTTTTGATGATAATAAAAAATTGGGTTATCTAAAATTGCGAAGTAGCATGTCTACCATTGCTTCATTGTTAAGGTAAAGTTGGGACAACAAAGTTTTTACGTTTTAATGTTTTGTTATAGGCCTTAAACATGATGAAATTAAATATGATAATAATAAAAAAAGAAGAAGAAAATGTTTCCGAGTTACATGATTATAAATGTAATAGGCTCACTTGCCCTGTAGTGATAAAATGAGGAAGTGCTGGAGGAAAAAATAAATAAAAAATGAAGTCGTCTGTAAATGGTATTTTGTTTTTCAGCGCATAATTCCAAATTAAAGACTGTCGGCCTAGTGTATTAAGTTGTAAGTAAACTCAAAGACCAATATCTTTAGCCTATTTATGCGGTTCTAAAAACAAAATAAATCTAAGAGTGATGCATGCACGGTGAATTTCCGATTGTATATCAACACAATAGAAATAGAGTTCCATAGAACAATGTAAATTGAGAATGAAATCAGAATAGCCTATCTGATATTTTATAGGCCTATTTCCCTGTGGGCCATTCATCCAAATGTTGGTAGCTGTCAGTCCAGGTCTACAGTTAAAGATGATGCCGCAAGTTTATGCAGACGAGGAGGAAGAAGACAAAACAAGAAAGAAAAAGTAAATAACAAGTAGGCCTAATATACTAAATATAGCCTATATAAATGAGCGCAATGGCTTTTTATTTACGCAAGTTTTACGGGTCAAGTAGCCTGGTGTTGGGGAACAGGCCTCAAAATCAAAGGTAACAGGGGTACGGGCGGAGTTGGGGAGACTGTTTTGTCCTGAACGGGCGGGTATATTTAGAACTTAGAATAACGTATCTATAATAAGCGAGTTAAACTGTCTGTGACTTTTGACCTTGGCCCTTAAAAATGGATTTTGCGTTCTCGGATCCCAATTTAGTTTATTATTTAGGCTATTTTAAGTAGCCTATTATTAGAATTTCCCGTAGGCTATGAAGAGATGAACAAACTCTTCAGAATCTAGACAATCAGTTGTAGTATTTTTATTTTTTTGAGCAATATATATCAGGTTTATATGTTAATGTTCAATGTTGTTGCCTATACATAAATCAGTTCAGCTGAGCTGTCTGTGAGCTGTTCTATTCTATTCGAGGTCATTGCAACCAACAGGGCTGTGCGTAAAAATGGCTATAAGGCGTGTACTTGAATGCAACGGATGTAATACGCCATTTATTCATTTTTTAGCGAACGAAGGATAAATATGAATAAATATCACCTTTTTCAACTGGACTGTTTTGTTGAAAGATGCAATCTCATTTTCTTCAGCTAGAATGTAAACAAAAGTAGCCTACGAATCGTGGACTGTTTGTCTATCCCGCGCAGCCTCTTATTCGCGTAAATTAAGCCGGACTCCGAAATTTAATAATAATAGTACTCTGATCTCTCGCTCTCTCTCTCTCTGTCACACACACACAAACACACACACCATAAAATATTACATGATAGTTATTCTTAGGTGGGCTTTTTTGTACTTTCTCTTCAATTGCGTTTAGCTATGTTTGATCTGTTCCATGTCCTCAGGTGTTTTAAAAAGCGTTTTAGCTTTAAGCAATTGAAGAGTTCAGATGCAAAAGCCTCTAAATGCCATTTGAAATTTTCTTCTAAAATGACCATTTTTATCAAGCTTGTATATTTAAGTTCAGTAATTTTACTTAAATGACAATTAATAGGTAATCTTCATTGCCATTTAGGTGAAATTACTGAACTTAAATATACAAGCTTGATAAAAATGATCATTTTAGAAGAAAATTTCAAATGGCACTTAGAGGCTTTTGCATCTGAACTCTTCAATTGCACTCTTAGAAGAAAAGGTTCTATATAGAACCTTAAAAGGTTCTAATAGCGCTACGTATTTGGAACCTCTAAAAGGTTCTATACACACTCTTAAAAATGGGTTCCTCTGGGTTCTATATACCCTGGGGTTCCATACTTGGCCAACAGAACCTTTTACCAAAAAAATGGTTCTATAACCATTTTGGAGTTCCATATTATGAAGCGGGGGATGGAATCATTTCTGGTTCTAAATAGAGCCATTTCTTCTAAGAGTGTGGGTACTCATTTAATTACCGAGTAAACTGTACAATTGCATGCATATTAATCTTCAAGCTTTCATGAAATGAAAGTCAATTCTCTGCGTGACTCTTATTAACGCAATTTAAATGAGCAGAAAACATGAAGAGACGTTGCACCATAATTTGCAGACAAAGTGCTTTATTGTTTTGAGCAATGCTTATGGAATGGAGTGTATATCGGTTTACATCATAACACATGAGACATCCTCCCCTTTGGTTGCCCTCAACAACAGCTTTTCGACTCACATCTGTGAGTGTGAAGCAGATTACCAGCGATTCTCCATCACTTCTACTACCTTCACTATCTAGATTAAAACAGTCACAAACGAGGGGATTTTTTTCTTTCAATAAGCCTGTAAACCTGCATACTCAAATAAAATCCAGCCGAACACGTTATCTACTGCTGTTTAGAAAATAAAAATCGAATTGCTAAAAAGTACATGACATTCCCCCCCACCCAAAAGCTTTTGGCAAATGAAGAACATGGTGGAGGGCTTTTGAAGAAGGCGTAAAGTGAAGCTGTATCTTATAGCACTTTTCACATTTAGTGAAATCACATATACATCGTTGCGTGTGAATCCAGTATTAGAAGCTGAAGCGATGCTCTGATGACACTATCAAAGTCTACCGCTAAAACAGCCTCTTTTGTCATGCCCGTGTTGTTGTTGTTTTGTTCTTTGCGAATATTATAACCAAGACGACAAGGGTTTGTTTTCTTACCCAATGAGAACAATAAAAAAATGCTTCTTTTCCCTGTGCAATGGTTTCTCAAGGGCACAAGCAGCGCTCAGTTTATTAGGAAAATGAAACACTAACCAAGGACGCTGTAACATTGGTGCCGAATAATACTTCCAGATAAAAATGCTTTGAGAAAGCCCGAACACAATTTACAATTAACACTATAACAAGAGCCACACCTACTCATATCAACAAATTCACAATGCACACTCTTGTCCAAAAGGCTTTGCACATAGAATTAGCCGGTCAAGAAGAAATTGTGACCTTTTCTGTGTTGTTGTGAACAGAAAGTATGTGGTGTATTCATTTTAAAAAAAAATTAAAACATCAACCCCCCCCCCCCCCCAAAAAAAAAAAAAATTAAAATCAGCTTTTTTCCCAACAACCACCCTAATATTAGAAAATAACAATTTACTTCTGTTTGAAAAAAAAAAAAAGATTAAAAAATACAGAATTAAATAATTTGGAGTAAAAAGGCACGACTCTTGCACAGTGTATACATTGAAAACACAGTATAAAGCAGGTATGGGACCATCTTAAAAAAATAGACCTGGGGTGGGGGAATGGGGAGTTTAGGGCAAGGGAAAAAATTAAATAAAAAAATATGACCAAGCATGGAATATACACCATCTCTGGGCTAAACCAGACTGAACACTAAAAAAATAATGCAACATGCATTTTTCCTCTTTTTCCTTTCTTTTTTAGACAGTACTTGTGTTGTAGGATTTTAACATTCTTCATTTATCAGAACACTTTTACCAAATCACACACAGAGTGGTGCTTTCAAATTCAATGTAAAAATATGCGCAAGTGATAAAAAAAAAAATCGAAACCAACATAGGATGATGCGGATTTTTCTTTGAATTAGAAAAGTTAAGGACAAATGTTAATCTCTAAGTCATATTACCTGCTTCTAATTCAATGCCATTTATAAAAGTATTCTCCTCTGTTACAGGTATTATGTTTCCCTTGTAAATACCACTGCTGAACCAACAGGATTCTGTGAACATTTTGGTTCCATTCATAATGTGCAAAATATACAACGTTTCATCTATGTTGCTGCCAATTTGAACGTTCAAAAGAATTTCGAACAAAACTCACAAGACATACACACATAGAAAAAAAAAAAAAAGAAACAATTTTTTAAAAAGAAAACAAAAATAAACAAAGCACCCCTTCCCCAAACCTCCATGGAATACTGAAACACAACACAAAATGGTGTGTCCTGGTACGATGCAAGAGGTAAACTATGTTTTGTCTGCCGAGAACAAGCGTGAGAACATGTGAAACTGCAAGGCTGCGTTGAACAGTGCCTCATAGTGCTATCGTTGCAGCTCGTAACAGACCGAGTGATCCTAATAAAAAGTGCAACAGTTTAAGGTGCTGATGGCAACTGAATCACTAATGTAACAGAATTCACTGATGACTGAAGAGAAACCACTGATCCTGCTGCCTCAGTGTCTTCATTCTCCCTCCTGTCAAGTTGCTGCAAAACGAAAACAAAAAACCAAAAAAACAAATACCTACCAGAACCTTCGCCTCCATTTCAAACGCGTTTGCCTCAGAACACTGAAGGAACATGCAAAACAGTCAGATTCACCTGTCTGTCCACACAAGGCAATTTGGGGGGCGATGGGTCCTCCTTTTGTAAATGGCTCAAAGAGCGTTTCTTGTTAGTCTGTCCAGAGCAGGAAGAGGACTGTGCGAGTAAGGAGAGTTAGTGAGCAGGGCGGGGTGCCGTGGGGTCAAGTGCTTCAGGTGCCTCTCTGCGAAGCTGTTGACCTCAGAACGGGCATCCGAGGGCTGCGTGATGCGAGTTCGGGTAGGGATGTGATGAAATGAGAACTTCTGTTTTGGCCTCCTTATCCAGAGACGTAATTCTACTAACTGAGCCTCAGAACATCACATGCGCTCTCTTTCCTCTCTCCGTCCTCATCAAAAGGCAAGAAAAGTATCAAACGGAACAAACAAGAAAAAGGGGCATGCATAAGAAAGCAGTAAAAAGCCCCCCCCCCCCCCCCCCCCAAAAAAAAAAAGGTGTAACTGTGTCCTTTTCCATCAGTCTCATGGTCCCACAAAAACAAAGAACGAATAGATGAAAATCAAAATGTAAACGAATGGTGGTTGTAGCTGCTGTAGGGGTGCCCCCCTTTGGCAGAGCAGGCGAGTGAGTGAACTACACCCCTCCGCTGGCGTCCCTCTTCATCCCTGTGGACTCAACACAGCTGCCTCAGACTAGGGCAGAATGGTAGTGATGAAATCATAGAACCTCTTCGAGTACTGCTCTGGGTTCACGGTGGAAATCTCTGCCCCAGCCTTTGACAAAACCACAACAACAAAAAGCAGGAGGTTGATCCCTTGATAAAAGCTATAAAGGTTTCAGTCATGCATGCATGACAAATGAGATGACAGGAATAACCAAATAATCCTCTGTAAAGTACTTTTGGTACATGTTAAAAAGTATTTTTTTGGTTAGTGATGTTACTTTTATCCATTTTTACAATGTAAAAATGTTTGCAATTTTTTAAAGAAAAGGTAAAAACCTGTTATTAGGTTATGTTACCTTACCGTACACAAAGAACAATTGTACATGGTTTGATGTCACATCATATGTCATTTTACTCTTAAAGACTGTCAAATGTATGGTTTCAAGATGTAAAAACTAAGAATTTTCTTTATATATGGTAAAAAACAACAACAACAACAACAAAAAACAGTAAAATGACATTCCACAATGTATACATTTAACATAAATTTATTTTGTTTATTCTTATTTTTGTTATTGTAATGTACATCAGGGTGTTTTTGTTATTTATGTTAACATTATATTTACATTACATAACATTAACAATAAATAACATTTGTTATTCAGCAAGTTAGTGAATGTTGCATTATTTAAGTGTCATATTTTTCTCTGTTGGTGTTTTGTGTTTGTGACCCTGACTGTGCAATGTCTATGTACAAATATTGGCCATGAATTCTGAATCATTATTCGATTTTACCACCTGTATTATTACACATTTTAAGGTAAAAAGCAGATTTAGCTACTTCAAGTAACTTGGTATATTAATATTATAACTTCATGAAATGAACAGCTATAAGTTGTAAAATATAAAGGCACCAACATGCAATTCCATAATACCAGAAACATTGTCAATGTTGTTTCACAGTTTCTAGCTGCTGCTTTTTTAACAAATTTAACTGATTTTTTTATAGTGATATAAGTCTACATATTAATAAAAATGACACTTAAAATGTTATAAAAATAAATAAATATTATTATTTTTTTAAGCACTCACCCCATGCTTTACCGTCTTGGCTGCATGAGCAGCCTTTTTCTTGGCATCATAATGTTGCAGGATGTCAATAACAGCCATAAAATACACCTCCTTTCTGGGAGAATCTGGGGGGGAAAAGGTTTGCAATACATTTTCATAATGTGACATAGTACAGAAAAAAGTAGGATGGGTCTTAGCTTATCAATCATGAATTGGTTTGATTGTGAATGGTGTCCGTTACATACCAGCACGGAGACAGAACAGAATGTTTGACTATAAATATTATTTTCACCACCTGCCTAAAAACTCTTATTATATAAGAAGAGTTTTATTTTAAGAATATCATGCCTGGATTAAGCATTCACAATAACCACAGGAACATGCATTCAAAAAAAGGTTAATAGGGCCAATTTTTATTTCAATCTACTTTAAGGTCCTCATATAAACAAAATATAAATTATTTGGTATAAAGCATATGTTCAATAAAGCGATAAGCCTTGTGAAATCATAGTCTCCAGTGAAAGACATTGTTAGGTACAATGCAGCATTCTGTTAGCTGTTCTAAAATCACGGTAGACTATGGCTTCACAGGGCTTATTGCTTTTATAAAACGGTTAGTCCATAAAAATATTTATTTTAATGAGGTCACAGGTGTATGTTTGTAGATTTTGTAGAGTAATTTACAATGGTTTTGAAAGCCGCTCTGACTATTTATCATATGCAGTGGAATATCTTCACAGGACCCATTTCAATAAGACAGGACATAAGCTTCTTTCTTCACTCACTGTCATGGCTTTTGATGGCATAGACGTCAATACTGGGGTCGAAGTCTCCCGGTGAGAGTGGTTTAGAGCTGTCTAGGGTGTTACTGGGACTGTCAGGAGGCGTCCCAACAATCCCTCCATCACTCTCTCCTTCCTCATCTCCCTCATTATCCTCACTTTCCACCTCCTCTTGTTCTGCCCTCTCCACGTCATGGATCCCAACCAGAAGACTGTAGTCCATCAACTTCAGCAAGGCAAGGAACTAGACAGAGATGTGAGGGAAGAATGGAGAGAGGAAGTGCACAAGATGAATACATCATTGTGCCCGTACCAGGCAGACAGAGTGAAAAAGCTAATTCTTCTAAATCATTTACCTCAACATCCTTTCGAAGCTTATCAAGGAAGGTTTTCTTACTTTCCTCATCAATGTATATTTTCTGTCCATCATTGATGAAATCATTGTCTTTGTACGTAGGGAGTTCTTTAGCCTGGTAGAAAAGTGAGAAACAATTTAGTCTGCTAAAGAAAGTAAAGAACATCTTAAGAGATTCATCATTAACATTCAAATAAATTCAGACCCTAGTCATGTCATGTAATATCATGCAGCACACCAGGGGGTGCTCTAGATTCACAATAGAGGCTGTTTGGCACATTCAGCTGCATGTAGTGTCAAGGGACCCTCATATGAACAAATGAGGCAGCAGTCTAACAGTTTGGCTGATTTAGCTGATCTACATTTTTGCTTAGAGATATTCAGAATTGCCTAAGAAAGAAATAAGCTTTTAAACAGAGTTAAGATGCATGTAGCAACAATGCTTTGGCATTAATGTAAATCAGCTACGACTCAATATGACTCAGCTGTGAGTAATTATTACTCACAACAACTACTTAATAATTAAGTAATAACTTTTTATGGCTTGTTCGAACTAATGAAAATGAATGCGGGCGAAAATGTCCTCCAGGGTGATAAAACCTCCAGAATGAACACACTCCAGCAATTCTCTGTAATTAGCTCATTTGGTAGCCTTGCTCCAGACTCCAGTAAATACTATATTAATGGACTTTAACAGCCTCTACCGTTTGCAGATTTCCCAACTTTTAAAAGCAAACATACACCAATCAAACTGTTGTGAAATCCAGGCAGATCATTGATAGTTGAAGCGTGCCCTGCTGGTGGGTTGCAGAACATTAGGAAAGGACATTGGGGCACTGATGAAATAGTTTGCATTCATGACAGATTTATACATGTCCCCAATCTTATTGTGTAAGATTCATCTGTATATGTTATTCCAAAGACAAGAAATGTGCCCTTATTTTTCAACCTCTATCTTCCAAACATTTTTTTTTAATAATATTTAACCTGCTGCAGGACTGAATCGCACATTATATGGCAGCATAGTTAATTTGTTTGTTTCTCTTAATGCAATACAAGCATCTATGTTTATTAAAACCTATTCTAGGTTGACTGCCAGCATACCACGGCTTGAGACGAAAACTCGAAAGCAGAGAGAGAGCATCTGATGTGTGATCAGGGATTAATGGCTCTTGCTTGTTTTACGAGTGTGTTTGACTTTACTTTTATGTGGAAAAATAGTATTTATGGCCAGTACACTACACAAGAATATATTAATGATTCAAGTCAATGTGTGAATTATAAAATTATGCATTGAAGCAAAACCAGAACATATAAATATTTGCCTTTGCAAATATTTCTGATTTAGTTATTTCAAAGTCCACATTTGCACCGACATGTACAGGCACAATTTTATTTTTTTTAAAAAGAGGCTGTTCTCAGAAAACAGAGTGTGTGAAGAAAATCAACATTTCTTTCTACTCCTCTTCATGACTTGGCCAGACAACAAGCAGCTTAATGGCTGCTAACACAGTGAGTCCTCTGAGAAGGGGGTGAAGCCTTATATCCTATAGCCTATATGTGGGACACAGGGCTGACAGTGACGGCCAGTATCCCTATTAAGCAGTGACCTTAAATTGGCACAGTTTCAACAGTCATGTGTAAAGCTGCCTTTGGCCTGTAATAGAACAGCACCAAGTTCAGCATTTATTCAAAGAGCGAGAATAAATAGCTAAGTACAGTATTCAAAATCCAAATGGCAGATGAGAGACTGCAAAAAAATTTCCTTAATCAGCATTTTAGTCTTGTTTTTCTAATGTAACAACCTAAACATTTCTAACAGCCAGATAATTGACTTGAGATGCAAAACTGTGTGTTTTTTTTTACTGTGTGTGGTTTTTAAGACTAGTTTGTAGAAATATATTCTTAGAAAACATTTTAGTTCCATTTAATATTCCAATTTAATCTGATTCATATAATTTGCAATATGTAAGAACAACAAATATATTTTCTCTGAAATCAAGGCTCTTTTTCTTCGTCTTGTTTTAGATAAAGATGCTGATTCGCTTTACCTAAAATCTCTTTAAAATTTGGCAATTAAAATATGAAGTTGTTAAAAAAAAATTACATTTGTTTAATACAAAGACACATACAATTACAAGGATCAATGGCTAACTGCTAACATATTTCTTCTTTGTTAAATTCTAGTACTTTCTGTTGACTAAGAGAGAAACAGTATTCATCCTTTTTATTTACATTTGCAGTGTTGATGCCACTGCAGCTTACAGCCTCTTGGTTTAATCTCCACAGCTTAAAAAAGCACCATGGACTTTGCTTCACCTTGACACACTAAGTATAGGATAGATCTACATCTGCGCACCCGATAATCACACAAACGCTCTAAAATAGCACGCCTCACTCTTATACTCACTCTCTGCTTCGCAGTAAATTAAGCTGCTCGAAGTGACATATGATTAGCCACTACAGAATGAACCATCTTTAACAAACCCACAAACAACAAAGATACTTGGCATGCAATATACTCTGAACACAGAAACTACTCTTGACTGACACAAGAAAGCTATATACTCATACACACTCACCTAAAGGATTTTAGTAACACCATACTAACACTGTGTTTGACCCCCTTTCGCCTTCAGAACTGCCTTAATTCTACGTGGCATTGATTTAACAAGGTGCTGAAAGCATTCTTTAGAAATGTTGGCCCATAATGATAGGATAGCATCTTGCGGTTGATGGAGATTTGTGGGATGCACATCCAGGGCACGAAGCTCCCGTTCCACCACATCCCAAAGATGCTCTATTGGGTTGAGATCTGGTGACTGTGGGGGCCATTTTAGTACAGTCAACTCATTGTCATGTTCAAGAATCCAATTTGAAATGATTCAAGCTTTATGACATGGTGAATTATCCTGCTGAAAGTAGCCATCAGAGGATGGGTACATGGTGGTGACCATAAAGCAGGCATGTGATTGGCTAAGGACAAAAAAGCAGGAAATATTCTGAGAGACCGTTATGGTAACTTTACAGCAGTACAGTCCAGCAAGATAGTCATTTTATGCAAAACCATAGAGCTTTATCTACAGATCAATAATATTATTAACATTGAATCATCTTGGAGAGAGTTTCATCGTTGTTGACTGCCGTAACCGAATGCAACTGAATGCTGAATGGAGATAGACTGACAGCCGCAGCGGAGGGAAAAGTTTACGTGAACTTGAATTTAAAGAAGGACTATAGAAGTAAAAAAATCTGTAAGCGCTTTTTTCTCTTTTTTTACAGATGATTGCATGATTTGCTTTCATCACATTTTCAGGTCGGAAAATCTGGAATTCTGGATTAATCCGGAAAAATCACATCCCTGATAAAGGGATGGACATGGTCAAAAGCAATGCTCAGGTAGGCCGTGGCATTTAAACAATGCCCAATTGGCACTAAGGGGCCTAAAGTGTGCCAAGAAAACATCCCCCACACCATTACACCACCACCACCAGCCTGCACAGTGGTAACAAGGCATGATGGATCCATGATCTCATTCTGTTTACGCCAAATTCTGACTCTACCATCTGAACGCCTCAACAGAAATCGAGACTCATCAGACCAGGCAACATTTTTACAGTCTTCAACTGTCCAATTTTGGCGAGCTCTTGCAAATTGTAGCCTCTTTTTCCTATTTGTAGGGGAGATGAGTGGTACCCAGTGAGGTCTTCTGCTGTTGTAGCCCATCCGCCTCAAGGTTGTGTGTGTTGTGGCTTCACAAATGCTTTGCTGCACACCTCGGTTGTAACGAGTGGTTATTTCAGTCAAAGTTGCTCTTCTATCAGCTTTTATCTGTCCATTCTCCTCTGACCTCTAGCATCAACAAAGCATTTTCGCCCACAGTACTGCCACATACTGGATGTTTTTCCCTTTTCACACCATTCTTTGTAAACCCTAGCTATGTGCATGAAAATCTCAGTAACTGAGCAGATTGTGAAATACTTTCGGCCCGTCTGGCACCAACAACCATGCCACAATCAAAATTGCTTAAATCACCTTTCTTTCATTCTGACATTCAGTTTGGGGTTCAGGAGATTGTCTTGACCAGGACCACACCGCTAAATGCAATGAAGCAACTGCCATGTGATAAGTTGATTAGATAATTGCATAAATGAGAAATTGAACAGGTGTTCCTAATAATCCTTTAGGTGAGTATATATATATATATATATATATATATATATATATACACACATATATATACATACAGTATATAAAGGAAAACTTATTTCTTTTCCTTTTGAATTTAGTTTGAGTTTGAGGGTGAAACTGACCTTTTCTTTGTCACTTGCCTCTCTGGCAACAGTAGATCCCTAAATAGAAGAAACATGTGAACATGTCAAATCATATAATAATCATCTGGATTGACTTTGCCACTCATTTTTCATAATCCTTACCTTTAGGTCATATTTCTTATACACAGACAACCGATGGCTGAATACGTTGCGTGTGACTATCATATAAGTCTCGTCTCCATCTACAGTGAGGCGGTACATGCCTAAGAACTGTGGCAGCAGTGTGGTACCATGATATTCCACGATATACTGCAGCGAGAAAAGAACTTATAACCATCTGGCTCATTATAAATGTGCATGTAAATTTAAAAATGATTGGTAAAACATCAGTCAAATGCATAAAGTGCTTGTATAAGGAATGTATGAGCTTTTGTGTTCGCACCTGATGGTACTTCTTGAGAATGTTGTGCATCTCAGCCACGTCTTCGCTGCTTATGGTCTTGATGACGTACCTCTTGTCGTAGGAGGTGTGGAAGCGAGCACCACTACGACCCTGAGCTTCACTGACGAGGGGCGCGCTACGGGTCAAAGAGTTCTGCCAACACACAGAAAAGAGGAAGATGTCTTGGCATACACAATAAACACAACAATGGATGCAACTGACAGGCCTTGGACTCATTTATACATGAAGTGATATCTAAACATCATCACACTGAATTAGAAATGAATAATAATTCAAAAAGCAGAGAAGTTGAAACAGACCATTTCTCTTCAACTTCCCATCTTTAACTATCATGTTCAACTTTGCATTTATTTACACATTTTCTTTAAGCACACTTTGGCAACCACCAATGTTTATTAGCAACTGATTAACACCATAAAATTGTGGATCTAAAAAGCAGTATTTTTTCCACTTTTCCACAAAATCTGGCCCTGTTACACATTACAGTTTTGAGCCTGAAAAATCAGTTGTACAGCACACACCTTCTTGTTTCGATCCAGGTACCAATAATGTTACTATCCAGAATGCAAGACGATGTAATTACCATAAAAGTTTGATGCTTAGTATTTTTTGAGTCTTCAATGTATAGAAACTTCTAAAGAACCGCATTTACAGTATTTTAATTTATTATTACAGTATTTATTACATTATTACAGTATTTTTTGTAACAATGTTAACGTCTTTACTATCACTTTTGATCAAATTAAATGAATCCTTGCTGAATGTATTAATTTCTTAAATTTGTTTTTATCATACATACACAAAAATAAGAATATGCACAGTAGGGCTGCACAAAGTTTCGTTTTAGCACCGATATCACTTTATACGCACCCGTGATAGTCACATCGCAGGATGTGAAATGAAGTATAGGGTTCGTATTTGATCCGTACAGGTCAACAGTCTCCTCGCTCGGAAGTGAACGCATGTGATTCGCAGAATAATTGTAAAGTTTAACCATCATAGAGTTAAGTCCTGTCAGTTTAAACATCAAGTGCAAGAAGAATGCAACTCACATACAGAGCCACGCAAACAGCAAGTAAAGTTTGTGAACACCAAATTCCCTTCCCTTTCTTATCTATTTGTGCTTGAACGGTTCTGTGCACGGAAAAATAAGTCAAAATGCCCGTCTCGACGAGTTTCCTCATAAACGCAGTTGGTTATGAGTTGTAAAGAGAGAAAGAAAATGTATGTTTGTCATTACAGTATTGGACATGTGCATTCTATTGAATACTGTTTGTGTCACCAAAGTTAATCAAACAACAAAAGAGAAAGAGAAAATCTTTTTTGTAGCTTTAACAAAGATAAACTGTATTGATTATATGAATCACATTTAATTTATACAGCTAAGATTATGCAGTGTTATTTTACATTTGATTATACAATGTCTGTACCTGAATAGTTAATTTACCATAAAAAACAAAGCACTGCATATTTCATCAGTGTCTTTGTTCTATTGTATTCAGATGCTTGTAATTTGTTTATTATTTTCTATGCAGAATGCAGATGCACTACCTTAAATAATAACCCCAATCATCCAAGAATGATTCAAATCGTTCTCATTGAAATTGTTTTCATATAGCAGAAAAACTAAATATCGCAATGACAGTTTATTCCAATATCGTGGCGCCCTAATGCACAACAAAAAATAAGCCTGTGATGCTGATTGTTGCATGTTTGTTTGTGGACAGTTTAAATAGTAAGTCAGTTATGTCATGCCGAAAGTTCTGAAGTTCAAGTTCTGAAAGAGGTTGACAGAACTCACCACTGAGCATTGGCTCTCGTGGAAAAAGGGTATGAGAGTTTTACTGTAATCGCCCTGCCCAACAACACATGACCACTTAGATGTGGACAAGACAGCTATTTTTCAACTGCTCTGTACCAATTTCAGGAAAAAAGCTCATTGTGGACACAAAGCACATGAAAAGACCGGAGGGTTTCTGCTCAATGTGGAGGAGTGACAGGTGCAGCTGCACTGAGCAGCTCTACGTACATTTACAGGTCTGCTACCTCAAACATGTAACATACACAACAACACATATTTCTATCGCCTCTTTGATGCGTCTCTGTTCCTCAAATCTATGTGGTTGGATTTCCTCATGGAAACCCTCACCATATTCACCAAGTATACTCATTAAACACAAACCCAAAACCAGGAAATGAGATTTCGAAAGGCTTCCCAGGCTGAGTCATGCGGGTTAGGGCCTGTAGCTGTTCAGCTGATGGCTCATTCCGCAGGGAAGTGGTGCACAGATGGGCTGAAAAAATAGTGATGATGAGGCACGTAGCTGTCAGAGGACGCAGGGCGGACTGAAAAAACACACAGCTAGGAAATCATAGCGGGATTATGCTAGATCTGTATTACAAAACAGCTGTTATCAGGCAGGTAGTTTTGCATAGCCAGACTCTTGACTTGCGGCATAACGTCTAGTCCCAAGTACCGCCCACTTATAACCAACATGAAAAGCTGTCCTAAACTAGCCTAATTATATAGGGTGGTTCTCAAAACTTTTGATTCCAAGACCTCACATTGTCCACAGTAATATTTCAAGGGCCCATGACTCTTCCAGTCGTTCTTGAATTACTGGATTAGATTAGACTAAAAATTAGTGTATTCATAATAAAAATGCTCATAGATTTTATTAATTTACATTGTCAGAGCTAGAAAATATATTTTTTAATTACGTTACCTTATATATCCAGGTTTTTCAAGCAACAGTTGTCGAGGGTGGAATATAAACTAAGAAATATCTTGATTTGTCTTGGTTTTGGCTAACTTCAATGGTTATTTTGTCTGGTTTTAAATTATTTTAACTAATCTTGAGAAACACTGTAATAGGCATCCTTAAAATTGATTAGCTGATTTTGAAAATATGTAGTTGTACGAACACATTTCTGCAATAATTAGTGCAATAAAGGTTTCATTCATCTCTGATGTATAACATAGGAAGCCTAGACTACAATAAACTTCCAGTAAATAGCTCGCACTGAACGTCTCTAATCAAGATCATAAAATAAGCACATTCTGGGAAGCTGATGCTTTTTTTTTGTATGTAAAAGGGTTACAGTCATAATGTAATGCCTTTTAAACCCACACAAGCAGACAGGGAGCTCTAACCAAGACCTTGAGCTCTAACTGATTACAGTGAAACGCAAAGGCATATCTTCCCTCATTAGCCAAAATTAGAAATGTTGAGAAAAGCCCTTCTTACCTAAAGCACACTGATTGCGACTACTCTTGCTAAAAAAGGTATGTTCTTCTATGAAAGGGATATAAGGAAAGGGATATGAAGGCAATTAAGAACATTTGAACGTGGGAGGCTGGAAGATGCAAGGACAGCTCTGACATTACTGTGTTATTATGGGGAATAATAGTCTTAATTACGACAGCAAATCGAGTGGTTAATGACTAAATTACTTCTTGGTAATTACGGGCTTTTCTCACAGAGACCTCAATCAGTTTGGCATTGTTTAGTAAGGAGTACACTGATATTTTGTGTTAGTCAAATGGAGTATTACGCTGTGGTTTTAAGACACTGAACGTGACACCTTGGATCATTTCTCTCCTTTTCACAAAGCTTACCTGGAAGTCCTGGTCATCAATGTTGAACCTCTCTCTCAAATTACGGAAAACAAGAGGGCAGTACTCCTTGAATTTAAAATGGCTTGGCATATTCTCTCTGAAAAGCAAAGCAGCAAAGAGATAAAAGTGAATATACCAAATAAACATCTCTAGAGTAGGCTGGGTCAATCTCACAAAGAAAAGTCAGTCATTTTTGTATTTTTACAATGAAACGGAAGATACGAGTCTTCTCTAGAGTGACGAATAAAGGAAAGAAGAAGAAAAAAATGCTGGGATATTTTGTCAATCGAGAACTAAGTGCTGCAACAATGACATATTTTTGTAGGCAAACCCAGAAGTTAGCATTGCACTGGTTCCCTTGACAAAAAACCCAATATGATTTTCCCCAAAAACTTTTGAATTGTCACAAAAAATACTCTCAGTGATCAACAAAAGTTTATGGTACTTGCATTTTTTTGTCCATTAAAGTAATTGTCACAAATTACCAACTTTAATGAAAATTTGAAGCCTACCGGTAAATACAATTTGACACAAAAAAGTTAATCTTAGGCTATAAATGAACTACGCCACAGTCGCTCGACTTCAATTTCCGGTGAAGGTCTAAGGATGCTGGATTACTTCTGCCGATCGCAGAGTGCAATGCTATACCGAGAATTGATGGCTCTATGGCTATACTAAAGAAACGTTAGTCACAAAAACAGACACCCGTCATTTTGTTTATGCTTGTTTATTATATTAAATAAACATAACTATATATAAAATTACATCTAAACGTATTAAAGTTTCGTTTCAAAGACGGGAGGACAGTAAATTTTAAAGACTCTGCCATTATCCCGTTTTCTTTGGTTTTCCTCCGCTTTAAATCTCCCCAACCGGAAACTGAAGAGCAGCCTTGCGTCAAATGCGGAACTTATGCGTGCATATAGCCTATTGAGAATGGGGAACAGTGAAAAGTTTGGAGAGAAACTCACTTGTTGAAAAGGTGGTTGTCCACTTTAATCTTAGAGTAGGCTTTGAAGTCATCAGGCATAAGCATGATGGGAATCTGAACATGGCTCAACTCATTTATCTAGAGAGAAGGAAAGAGATTCAGTTAATGGTTTGAGTCTTTAAATGGGAGTCAAATGTAGTGGTCACCCGATATGGGCAAGGGAACCTATGACCAATACCAATATCTTGAGGGTAGGGAAGCCTATAAAAATATGCATATAATACAATTTAAAACATGCTACCAGTCAGTTGACACACACACTTCAACAACCGCACATTTTTCGCGATTAACATAATTGACACTGAACCAATTAATGCACACAAACAGTAGGTGCTGAGATGTGCTGGGTACAGGAACACATCAGTGTGAGTGATGTGTTCAGCTCATCAGAGGGCGATATCTCTGTGACACAATGCACTGTTTTGCTCTGCACAGGATCTAAAACAATGTGCTACATTCAACAGTCATCAGTTCCTGCTTTGCACAGTTTTCTCTTGTGAAAACAACACTTGTAATAAAACTGTAATAACGGAAACTACTGCATTGTGACATGAGGGAATTTAAAACTGCTGAACAGTTTTCATCCCAACAATCTGGTGACTCATAAGTTTTTTCCCTCTATTAAGAAATAAATAAATAACAATAGCGCTAACTAAACCCAAGAGGACTGGAGAAGGCTTTAATTACTGTGATATATTTGTTTGTTTGAGGATGTGAATGCACTAGGATAATTATAAGCAGTCAAACAGGCACAAAGCACCATGGGAGATCAAAGATTAGCCAGAGTTTGACAATCTTGGTGGAAAAAGACAACAATAAATATATATACACTCTAAAAAAAGAAAAAGAACCAATAAACATGGATACGCTACTATTAAAATTCTGGTTTATAATTATTTTAATGTTAAGGCCAATAACCAATAAATGGCTGACATTACTATATTGATGATAATATTTTGTCTAAATAAATCAAATTAAAAATTAAATCAACCCATTTAAATTGGGCATTACAAAATATTAACGTAAAGTATAAAAACAATTATATTTATTTTCAGATTTGCTAAAGATTATGTTCATGTTGGTCGATAATATATTGTGCATGTAAATAAATCTATAAAAATAAAAGGTATAAATAAATAAAAATTAGGGAACATGGAAATGCAACCAAATTGTGTTATCTTCTGACATTTACAGAAGATGGCAGTCATTTAGTATCTCACATAGATCTAATCAGTAAGAAAAGGGCTTTTAATCAAGGTGTGAGTAACAGCTAATTGCTTCATTTCCTCTGAAAATACATAAGCAACCAGAGGTCAAAGAAGTTGTATTTATGGGCTCGCTGCCTGTCAGTCAACCCATTTAACTGAGTTAAGGAGTGAGACAGGTTGTCTTCCAAAACAAGGAGATATTGCATCGACCCACTGTGATGTGACCTCTCAGAGAATGGAGATCATTGTAGCATTGATCTCTAGAGACTTTCCTATTGGCTGGTTGAATGCCAGGCTTCTGGATTTGGAGGGTGTCTCAGAGCCAAATGCACTGTAAGGAGTGCTAGGAGGTAGAATGTCTTTTCTTTGAGCAAATGTGATTATACCTCATTTGTTCTGCATATCAACTTTGAAAAACCTCTTCATGAATGTCAAACATTCATCAGTCAATTATTTCCTTGTGCATATTTATCTTGTTTGTTATAACATAATATAACACGACAATTTAAAACCTATACACTGATGTATAGCTAGCTAATTACCCTAGAATGATAAGATTCATTGTTATGTAAAATTCTCTTATATATAATTATAAAGTGGGAATAATTAACATGTTACCACATGGACCTGCCATTGTAACGATTTTTTACTGCGTAACTTAGCCAATTCCTGTGGAGTCTTTTTATGTGACTATTTAAAATTTGGATGACCAAGCCTAACTTTACAAAGTTTATAAGTTAACTAACAAAACTAACTTAAGTCGACTATTAAGGGGCAGTCCTACTATTTTGTCTAAATAAATAAAATAAAAAAAATAAAAAAAAAAAGTGAATTTCGGCATCAAATTATTAGTGTTTTTAAAGATTAACTTTAAGTATTAGATGGTGGCAAAGGTAATCTAAATAAAAATGTGTCAAATGATCATGCATGAGTGTCTGAAAACATGTGGAAAACGCTGGCCGCGCCACTTTCTCCTCTTTTCAAAAGCACTGCCGTTGCTGGCGGACGTGCCTGGGAAAACACAAGCACGCTTGTCGCACCGATCGCACCGAAGGATGCCGAATTGCCAGTTTTTTTATATTTAGAAGAATATCACTAACCAGACTGTTTCTGGTCCCATTGACTTCCAGTATATATTTTTTCTACTATGGAAGTCAATGGGACCAGAAACTGTCTGGTTACTGATATTCTTCTAAATAGTATCAGAAAATTGGCTGAATAGATTCGAAAACGGTAAAACCCAACTATTTAAAGGCACTCTATGCAAGATCTGTACCTTAATATAACAGCTTCAAAGTCGTTTCAGTGGTTAACAAAGTCATAGTAGGGCGAATCATCGTGGTAGTAGAGCTTGGGGGGGACGCCGCCGGAAAAACTAGCCATGCAAGTTTGAGAGCAACGCCCCTGACACATCACGAAATGGTTTACGGCAATGACGTCACACACATCAACAACAACATACTGTATGGAGCTACTTGCACGCATCCAAGAAAACTCGGTCAGAAATGTCCAGAAAAAGGGAAAGAGAATCGGACCGTGCTAGAAACCGGACAGGAGTCCGCTCGGTCATGCTTTCAATCGTTGGCGCGAGCTTAAAGGGTTAGTTCACCCAAAAATGAAAATTAAGTCATTAATTACTCACCCCCATGCTGTACCAACCCCGTAAGACCTTCGTTCGTCTTCGGAACACAAATGAAGATATTTTTGATTAAATTTGAGAGCTGTATAACTACCACATTGGCTCCTAAGGGACTGCCTCAGTCTTGACGGCCCAAAAAGTCAATGAAGAAAATGTTTAAATATCCCAAGTGACTACCGTGGCTCAACTATATGTTTATCAAGCGACGCGAATACTTTTTGTGCGAAAAAAAAAACAAAAATAACGAGTTTATTCGACTATTTCTTTTCTTCCTTGTAGGCCAGAACGAGACTTCCTTAGATTTTCACGACGCATGCGCGAGAATTGCGATCTGAAGTAGTGTAAGCTGGTGTAAGCAGATCGCAAATCTCGCGCATGCGTCGTGGAAATCTAAGGAAGTCTCGTTCTCGGTGAGTAATTAATGACTTAATTTTCATTTTTGGGTGAACTAACCCTTTAAAAGCAGAACTGGATTGTAACAGCGATGCTGACCTGCCAAACTTGTGATGGACTTGTGAGTAAATCTCTTATTTGTAAACTTGTTTGCGTTCTATGTTGTATGTTGCTGCACTAGCTTGTAGTTTGTCATTTTTTACGATGCTGTTCATTCATCCATTGTTGATAATTAGACCAGTTCATATAATTCCCACACGTCTAGCTAGCTTTCGTTTACCAAAGCTGTAAGCAGGCTTCCTAACAAACAGTCGTTTCTCTTAGTTTTGTTGTTTTTTCGTTATGTTTTATTGCCGAGGTTGCCACAAGAGCTAGTTTGCCAGCTGAACTCATGTGTTGTGATGTGTATCACGTAACGTTAGTCCCGTGTATGGTTTGGATTTCTTATGTCGTGCGTAAGGTACTGTTATAAACTTTATCTGACTAACAGTGCACTTCCCGACTGTAATTTTTCTTCAAATTGTGTTGATTATGAGTTAAATTTTGACGCTGTTGATGTTGATTCCTGCGATTATCACGAGGACATAGTCAATATCTCACATAATTATTAGGACATATAAGCCTAGAGGTTGTAAATAGTGTAATTGAACACAATTTGCTAACTATTATGATAAATTGTAATCATGTCTAATGAAATCATAACGGCCAATGTTATGAAATAATGTGACGTACATTTAACTTTATTGATGTCATCTGACATTTTGTAATGTTTACATTACAATCAAAACAAATGAAATTATACATTAGTCCTACACTATAGGCTATTTACTTGGGATTTAGCAAAAATCATGTAAAAACGTTATAAGTCAGCAAATGAGATAGGCAACTTTATTATTATAAAGTAGTCGAACACTTGACAGTTGACTTATTTATGACAGTGCAAGTACACCACAGCGGCTCTAGAGGTCACTGTTTTACAAAAAAATCAGAGAGTGCATAGTGTGCCTTTAATGAGCCTATTTCCAAAAAAAGTGGAGTATCCCTTTAAGATGGCAAACTTGAGCGTGCAAATGACGCGACATGTGAACAGCCCCTATGTATCTAGGTAATTCAGCCCGTTGTCATCCTTTAACGTCATATAGAACGCTATATGACAAAACGGCGCTACACTACGCCCATGGCACCCTTTATCGTTAATATAACACGCGAACCCAAGACGTTATAAATCCTTTAGCGTGAATATGACACGCACCCCACACCTAAACTTAGCCCTCACAGCACGTGTTATATTAACGATAACGGGTGCCATGTGCGTAGTATAGCGCCGTTTTGTCATATAGCGTTCTATATGACGTTAAAGGATGAGAATGCGTTGGGTAATTAGACCTGCAAAGTGTCACATCACATACAAACTTAAATAACAGTGACAGACTATACGTTTTTTAAAAGTTGACAGACTATAAGTTTTTTATAAGTTGACAGACTATAAGTTATTTTCCTTCAATTCTGTCAAAAAGAACATGAGTGGGGTTCCACGGAGAAACCTATGGGCCGATCCGAGCAGGCTTTGGGTTACTGTGAAAACCTTTACAAGAATGCAAATTGCGAAAGGAAGTAAGGCATTTTAAACAAGGTCACTTGAAACCCTTTAAAACGACTCTCTCCTGACACAAGCAAGTGTAAAGAGGCTGTAATGCATGCTGTGGTTACTGCTTAGTGAGTTAGGCTCATCTTTCAGGCTAAGGTCAGAACTTAGGCTATGCTAAAGCCATAGGTAAGAAGAGCACATTTCGAAGAAATTAGGTAGATTACAACAAAAATGATTCATTTATGGGCTGTAAATAGGAAATTAAATGTCACATGAGGAAGTGAAAACTATGAATACAAGATGCCAATTTCACAAATGTTTATGCCCACTCATCACTAAAACAGAAACTAGTTTTTCTTTAGATTGTGCTGACACAAACCATTTATCCTTTTAATAGAATAGATGGGCTGTCTGACCAAAAGAAACATAACTGCTCCTCCACCAGGCTGTACACAATATTTATCAAAGATCAGGACAGGAGAGCTACAGGCAGAGAGCTGCTGAAGATGGCATGAGTGCCAAGAGAACATGACAGTGACACTAAATCACCCACAAACCAAAAGAGTGCTAACCAAAAGCGAAGGAGATGAAAATCTCCGTCTCTCAACACTTTTTGCTGACAATATTTTGTTCTAAACAGAATGTAAAATGCACCGGCATAGTGACAGTAAAGCCAGGATGGGATTAATGCGGTGTTTATTTGAAATGCAATTAAAGCTAAGCGGTGTTGTGAGGGGTTAAGAGGCAACAGGCGCGAGGCAACAGGCGCTTGCAGAAACATGTGCGAGCAGGATGAGGTATGAGTGGTGCTTTCTACTAGAGGAATAAGCCTGTCTACTGGCAATGGTAAAGGAACAGCGAGCAGAAGACGGCTCTCTGTGACTATGACCTCACGTCAGCTACAGTAGGGGGCCTTCTCAGTCCCTCTAAGCAGCTACAGCCTATTTTGGAGACAAAACCTAGGCATTTACAGGACTCTATATACCACATGGACAAATAAGGAACTGTATATGTTACTTTTTGTGAAACACAGTACAGCCTATATCCGACACCTGGGTCTGTGCATAACAATGATAGGCAAAAATGACACTGAAAGATAAATCATCTCTAAATTGCTTCCTCGGTTTACAATGAAATTTAGAAAATTACAAATGTTACACAAGTTTAAGTAAAGGGATAGCTCACCCCAAAATGAAAACTGTCATCATTTACTCAACATCAAGTTGTTCCAAATCTGTATGCATTTATTTGTCTTCTGCTGAACACAAAGAAGATATTTTGAAAAATGTCAGTAACAAAACAGTTGATGGGACCCCATGGAGTTTCATACAATTTGGTGGTTACCAAACATTCTTCAAAATATTTTCTTTTGTGTACTAAAATTACTAAAATGAAACCTGAGATTAAAAATAAATGAAAGCAATATAAACATTAATAAAAAAAATATAAAAAAATGAACAACAAAAAAAATATCGCAGAAGCACATAAAATTACTCAAATTTAAAACCTTTTTTTTTTCAAATGGATTTTAATTATAAACAAAACCAATATTAATAAATACCATAATATTATAAATAATACTAAAATAACACTGCTGACAGTGATTTTAATGGTTATTTAAACAATACTTGTTCACCCAAAATGAAAACAAAAGAAGTTATTTAGAATCAATCTCTCAGTTTGCATGTTCATACAATAGAAGTCTATGGTAAGAAAAATGGTTTGGTTACCAACATTTTTGTGTTTGACAGAGGAAACAAAATTAATACAGATTTGGAACAACATGAAGGTGAGACCATTTTAATTTTAGGCTAAACACTTTCGTTCCGTTGACTTCCATTCATATGCATTAGAATGTGTCAGACCACAAATGCAAGCTCATGCGAAAAAATTTCATTCCGAAGTTCAAGTTTGGTGAACTCTGACCTTCGAATTAGAATCATGTGAAGACGTGTGACTACTAGTAGAAGATTGATAGCCTACTTCATGGCATGTCCTCTTGGCTGAATTAAAAGAACAATATTTTTGCAGTAAAGGTTGAGTAGAATGTATATTTTTACATTTTTAATGTATTACTATTTGTTAAATGTTGAATTCATGATCATAAAAAAAGACACTGCAGTGTGACATCATATCACAACCGTTGTTATGTTCAAAGAAATTTTGCATGCTCAAAGTCTTGTGTGACTGGCTTAACCCTGAAAAATCGAATGTTCCCACTCAAGATGCCCACTCTTTAATAAAATAATGAAACAAATATTTACTTTGCAAAGTAATTTACTGTGTAGTTACATTGAAAACATCTAATGTGAACAAGTGCCTATGCTGGTTTGAAACAAATGTGTCTTTAGCTGCCTAAAAATCAGTTAACCATTGGAGCTGGTAAACTTGATCCAATAAATTCTACTCTGCAAGACTGTGACGGAGTGTGAGCAGCAGTTTTAGAGACGTTGCACTGCACAAGATTAGAAACTGAGAAACTGGAGTAGACAACATACTCCACTGTCCTACTTTCCACCTACATGCTAGATCCTTTGAGGATCCAGGGATAGTGGCCTAACATTTTCAACAAACCCAGGCGCAGCTGCACAGGATCTCCTTAACTACCTTCCTCATGCTTTAAACAGAAATAACATACAAAGGCGACTGCTTTAGACTCCCCATCGTGCTGAGGCCACATTATAGGTGTATTACAAGCCTGCAGCAACGGTTTCATTTGTTCAAGAAGTAAGCACTTATCTCATTTCATCGGCCAAGTTTCACACTACCACTTCCTGTTTGTCTCCATGGCAGCGAAGTCAGGTTTTCCGCTACAGAGCTGACAAGCTTGCACTCCATCAGTACAGGAAGCCTAGTTCAGAGAATGCTCGTCCTCCTACCAGATGTTTATAAAGCTCTTTGTTTCTAAGCAATGCATTCATAGTGGGGTGTTCGGTATGTCAGCTTCTTGACGTCAACAATGCCTTCATTATGGCATATGAGCCTCTGAGTCTAAACTCAAGTAACAAGAACATCTGAAACAGGTTCAAATTATATATTGACAAATTACACAGAAGAGTGTTGATTTACCTTAAAGAGATAGTTCATCCAAAAATTTTAATTCTGACATCATTGACTCATGCACAACACGTTGGGTGAGTAAAATTTTGGTTTTCTAAATTAAGTGTTGACATGATAATATGTTATAAATCTGTCATCATTTACTCACCCTCACGTCAACATTAAAACTATCCCTATAACACATTTTCATGGCAAAACACTTCGTTTAGAAAACCATTAAAATAAAATAGACTTTGATACAAAAGCAAAAGTGTTCTGGAAATAAGGAAGGAATCTATCTAACCAAATAGCTCATTCAAATTCTTGAGGAAGGCTAAAGAAAATGCCCTAAAGGTCATTTGTGACCAATAGCAGTGAGAATGTATGACCAAATCTGAGGTACATATTGATCTTGTCCTTGTCCTACTCAAGGTTGAGGAAAATCCATTACTCATTCACTTGTGCTGCCCTCCCTCATACGAATAACAAACTTAGACCCTATTTTACTGTATTAAAATGCATTTTGGTCGACTTTTGTCCACTTTTTCAACCACTTCTGTTTTGATTTCTTCAAGGGGGAGTCAATGGCTGATTAAATCCATAGGTTTTACAGATCTTTCGAAATAATGGATGAAATAAGATCATGCAATTTTCATATGAACGCAACTGGAGAGTAGCAGCTTTCATTTCTGCTCTGCATGCGCAAAGCCATGATGAACAAAGTATGTGCATGTTAGAAATCAGGAAAAGCGACAGAACATTGTGCTTAGTATGTGTTTCGTCTTTTAAACCAAACTTGGTTCTCCAGCTCCGCCAGTTTAAATCCTGTCTTGCTAGCGCGCTTCACATAATGTTTAGGTCAGTAGGTGAAGAGCAGATGGTCTTTTGTGGCTATTCAAACACATTCTTCTTCTGCTACATGAGTGTTCACACTATAAGCTATATCTGTTCGAATTTGTTTTTGACTACTGCTGGAAGCGGTCAAAATTGGACAAGCTCAAAATGTTTTAGACCCTCTTCACATCTTTATTTAGCATCATCCACTTGTGGTTCGATTTACCAAAATGTATCTTAGGTGTAATGAGGGCACGCTAAATTTGTGTAGGCCTGATAAGCCTTGCAAATGAAGAAGAGAATGAGGTGCCTATATGAACTGACTATCAATAGTGTTAGTTTTAATCTATCTTCCCTTACTACATGAAAAAGACTACACAGATACAAATTGTCATGGCGATTAGCAAATCTCTGATACGATTGAACCTGATACGCCTACAACAAAGTAAATGGAAAATAGTATCCCACGTGTAGTTCAGCAGAAATGCACCTTACTGAGAGAGCATGCATGCTAAATTCATCTGCATGTATTGCTCTAATCAAAGCATTCTGATTGAGCTTAAAAGACTTCGAAGATGATCAGGATTTGCCTCAGGCAGTGTAAAAATAAAATAGTGTCTATTTTCCCAGAGCCACAGATTGGCGGCTGAATCTTGAGAGTATTTTTAGAAACTCCTTATGCAATCCAAACACAGACAGAGCAACTCTTGGTCAGGGCGGGAGAGTCTAGGAAGTATGGAGGGCTTAACAAAGAGAAAAGTAATAGATGGAGATTAAGAGAGAGTAAAGACCTGTAAAGAGTAAGCAGAAAGGGGAGGGTGGCAGAACAGCCAAAGTGATTGAGCTGAACTAAAACAACCGCTTCCCACAGTGTTTGATTTCATAATCATCTAAACGGAACATCCCCTTAATAGCATTATTCTCATATCACTTTCAATTCATATACAAATTAGCCTTGGACGCACAAAAACACACAGCTTGAGAACACAAAAGCTGAGGTGCTCCTTGATATGAGACGGAATAATGTTACATTATATTCCCCATTCACTGCTGTTTGCTAACCAAATTCAAGCATCGTGGTCCTTAGTGGTCAAGAGCCGCTGCTTTTCTGTTTAGTAGTCTGAGCTCAGTGAGGGCCTGCAGCTGCATGCATGATTCATTAGCAGTGTGTAAGCACCACAGAGAGCTGCACCAACTACTCCACCCTCAACTTTCTTGACCACATGCTCTCAGAGTTGCTTGATATCTAAAATATCCAACACTAGGTTAGGTTTCAAGGCCCACTTTCAGCCAACAGAATGTAGTAGCGCTGCTTAGCTCCGGTCAGTTGCAGTCAATGTATTTAACTGATGGGGCTGTCACAGATAGGGAAGGATCTGGTCTCCGTTTCTCTCTTGTGATTTTTGGCCTCCCACTCTCTAATTCCATTCCAGCCCTCCAAGACCAAGACCTGACCTCTGCTTTGACCCATGGCACAAAGCACCACAGCTCTCTGTTGACGTTTATATCATGCAAAACAACCCAACAAATAGTAACATAGTAAAATAAAACACTTTACAGCTTAAAGTTGGAAAGAAATGGAAATTCCATTTCATCCCATCCGTATGTTTCATATATATATATATATATATATAAATTTAGTTCTAGATTTAATTTTTAATCAGAAATGTAGGCTAATAACTTTTCACTGGTGACATGCTTCTTAAATATTTAGTTAAACGCTGCCTTAAACTTTCTTACAATTGACTGCACACTCACGGTCAGATCTGCCATCCAATGAACAAACGAACTATGGATGTCCTAAACCTAAATGTTCTTCTTTTTCGCTAATCATTTTACTTAGATGTCTTGCCGAACAAAAGTTTTGATGTCAATCATCAATCATCAATGGGGTCTCGCAAATCACGTTCATTGAGGTAATGAAATACAGTTTTGTAACTTATGTTTGATCACATGATTTTTTTCTAAAGAATAAGCTGAAAGTAATGCAGTCCTTAATGCTAACTTGTCACTTTTTTTGTTAAATTAAATGGTGGAGTAATGCAGGGCAGTTTAGTGTTCAAAACATTCATACATTCATTCATAAAGTACATTTGAACATAGCCACAGCATTTGCAAAAGGCTGACTAATTATTTATGTAGGCTATAACACATACTGTGTTTAATTACACTGCCATTGACTTTAAACAGTCTTAATGCCACACTGATATTGATCCTCGTTTTATTTCTCCACTTGTCCCAAACTTTTCTTGGATAATCTGATAATTTATCTGGAGAGAAAATAATATCTGGAGACAGAACCTGCTGCAAATGATAACAAATATTTGTGGTCCATGAAAATTATGCAAAACAACAACAGAGTGGCTAGTTAGATGCTACAACTACTGTGTTGCCATGATTTACGTGAAAGTGGAAACCGAGGATAATGCAAACATATGCCATTGACAGGCGATGCAATGACGTCACACTGGTTAAAATTGCTAATTTCTCTGGATATAATCATTGTTGTTAATATTTGGGATAATCTGAGTAGAAAAATGAACAAAATATCTAACACTGCGCTAAGGTTTTTGGATATTTTTAATGCAAATATCTATATTGTGCCTTTAAGACAAGGGATGCAACAATAGGTTCTGGCCATTGCAGATATTAGCCAATATTTGCTTTTCATTTAATTACTATTAAAAAAATATAATTAGTTAAATAAGTAATTACATGCTATGAATAAAAAACTAATAATAATCATTTAAAAATTTAAATATATATTTAATCATTAAAAAAATTCTGATGCAAGTTAAGGTTAGATGAGGGCAAAAAGTATCAATAATATAAAAATAGATGTAAAAGGGTGTCAAATTAAATACCCAATAATAATAACAACCAATGAACAGAAACAATCAACATTAATATTAATATTAATATTAATATTAACGCATACTCATGTACATTTCTGGATACCTTTTCAGTGTTTTGACAATGGGTAGTGAGGCCATGAATACAAAACAAAAAGTTTTATTTTCATGCCTGGCCAACTGGAACATTTCTTAAATGTCAACCATCCATGCAGGCTACATTTATATGCTGTAAATAAACAAATTAAGCAGAAAATGACCCTTAAGAATGTTATGTGACTGGAAAATAACAAATCTTTATTACATGTCTCAGACAACTAGACAAATCTCCCATTCGGAAAATGTCACCAGACAGTGAGAAACTGAAAACAAGCTGTTTTTCTGAAGACATCCTAAGAATGGCATTTTAAGAAACTTTCATGTAGAGCATAAAAGGAGCGCTGTATGATTGTCTAAGACAGTTAATTCAAAGAGAAACGTCTAACAAACAGATAGGTGAAGACTGTTACACCAAACATAACTGGACAACTTGCGACACCAAGGCATCTAAATATGAATACATTTATTATTAGAGCAAATAATTTCTTTACCTCAAAGTCGGTCAAAAGCCAGTATATGAATATGAATTACTACCAACTGAAATGCGGCAGGCCTATAAGAGAAGCATATCTAGGAGGCTATAATTCCTCTCCAAAGACAACTAATGGTGCAAACAATAACAGTCAGTATCAGCTGAGATGAGTCTTGCTTCAGTAAACCTCTAAGCTTATCATCTTGCAACCAAAACTTCCAACAGGAAACGATTACTCACCCACAGCTCCACTACTGATACAGATATTATTTTGCAACCTCTTTGCATGCACATAAACAGGACATAGAGAACTTACAAATTTGATGCATTACTGCATAGACAACAAATGAAGATTTTAAACAACCGGTAGTTTGCATCAATAGTTATATACATTAACAATGTCCTGAAGTCAACAAGGTTTACAGAGCATTTAAGTGTTTTAAGGAACAAAACAGAATCTGTTGTTCAAGAATCAAAGCAGAGCTCTGGTGATCCTGAAGTGAATAGAACCAAAAGATGGTGTCAATTGTCGGTTGTGAGACATACTGAACTTCTCTTTCCTCGTTAACTCTAATTCATTGATCAATAACGGACACAAACAAAGAAAAAGACTGCAGGTTTGACTCACCGAGTGGTTTATTCCCCACATGAGAACACTGAGCAGAGGGTCGCTGGCACGAAACAGCTTCACTTTCTGAGCCACGAAGTGTTTCTTCTTCGTTTTTGTTTTGCTCGCAAACGATGAGACAGTGTTACCAGCCGAGGCCATTGTTGGTTGTATAACAATAAATTAACTATCACACAGTGACAAGTGTTTTAATTACGCTAGTCGTGTCCTAACTGTCTCTTCGTAAAATATCATTTGGCATAACGTTCAGTTAGCTAACTAACAGCAGCCAGCTAGCTGTGTTACCAACTCAACTATTAGCTCGCTGGACAGATGAAGAACTTGCCAAATGCACTAAAACAGTGTGCTGTTATATATAACATTAAAGTTAAGAGCAAAACGCGGTGTTGTTTTAAGTTCTCGCCCGTAAACAAAAGCTCCTTAAGACTTCATTAGTAAGCCTTCCTTACTTGCTAACTAGCTAGCCTGACAAGCCAGCCTCCCCTCGGGAGCTTTTTTAACACTTCACTTAAATAAAAATAGTAGAAATACTGACGGGTACAACTGAAAATAGAGAATGAAATGTAATCTGAACGACGTCAGTCTAATTTGAGGAAAAAAGAGCGGGCGGAGAGACATCCACTGCAGCGCTGCTCCATTAGCATGCTAACGCACCCCAGTCAGGCTAAGCCAGCAAATATGTCTCAAGCAAAATCCCACTCCCACTTTCTTTCTTTGTCGTTTGTCTGCCCCGAGAAGACGTTTACTTTTAGACGAAGCCAGTATTCCTAGCTTTGAAAGGGTTCGAGTCTGAATTCGGTGTGAAATTTGTCAGCTATATCTACATTGCTTAAAGTTGGCGTATCCGGCTCATCCGCACTCCCCGACTGAAGGACTGACAGCTACGCGCGCGCGCACACACACACAGCCATAGATAGATAGACAGACACACACACACAAACACACACACACGCACACATTTTTGAATTATAACTCAAATCTTTATTTTAATTGAGTCGATTAAAAATATTTACTTTTAGAGAATAAATGGCAAAAATAACCTAAATAAAAGTAGACAGACAGACAGACAGACAGACAGTTAGTTAGATAGATAGATAGATAGATAGATAGATAGATAGATAGATAGATAGATAGATAGATAGATAGATAGATAGATAGATAGATAGATAGATAGATAGATAGATAGATAGATAGATAGATAGATAGATAGATAGATAAAAGAGTCGTATTGCGCAGGTGCATTAGTAGTTGTACTTGAAGAATGGGTTAATTTACCAAAAGTCAAAACACACTGGGTGGGTGTTGAACATGCTCATCATTCCAGCGAGCATGTCACGGAGTGGGTGGTGTTGTGTAGGCTACCACTGTCCATGAGTCTGAACATGAATATCATCAGAGGTCCAGGTCTCCTCCATTGACAGCTGTTTTTCCGACAAATTCTATTTTATATTGAGGAGATTCGAGATGATGCCTTTTCAACAATTCAGAGTTGAAATAAATAAATATAACTAAATGCCTTGTTCAAATAGTTTCATTTATTTTATAAAATATTGGATTAAATAAATATAATTACATAGTGTATGAGTAATTGCAGAAAGCTTGTTATTTTGATGGTTACCAATTTTAACCTTTTTCACGTTTTTATTAATTATTAAAGTAATAATTTCTATTATCATAATTTAATAAATTATTACATCTGAGCCACATAACGGTTCATGACCGACATATTTTAAACAAATAAATAAATAATTGCCCAAGTATGTTTCAGAGGGATTCTTGCCCCACCTACAGGTGAAATAGTAAATTACACCTGTCACCAAGCAACAGAGGCTAAACAGAAAACCAAGCATATTCAGCAGGTATTCTTTATGGATTGTAGACTTTGTTATTGTCTATTAATATGTTTATGTTATTATTATCTTTTTGGAGGGGTTTCTGTGTAACTGTTACGTTGATTTACTGTTCCTTATGTAGGCCCTGTGGAGTTTTTCATATCTAGATGGGGAAAAAAGTCAAAAAAGAGGCCGAGCCATTCCCGAAAGATGTGGTGAGAACATTTGTCACCACTCGTGTGATTTTCCAGGGAAATAATTATAACCTTTTTAATAACAGACAAGTTGTATTGTTTCAGTTCGACCCTCTACCCATCGAGAGCAAAACAGCAGCGACCGCGGTTCTCATGCTGAGCTCTCCTGAAGAAGAGGTGCTGGCAAAAGCTTGTGAAGCGATCCACAAATTCGCAGAAAAAGGTAAAAGCATCATCTAGTCTAAGGTCATTGGCAATTTTGCAGAGCTCACTATGTTCCCTTGTGTGGCTTTCCTTTATTGATTCCTGTATGCTTTTTTGCTGTTGTGCTTATATATTTTTAGGTGATGAGAATAAGACTTCTTTGATGTGCTTGGGAGCGATTGAACCTCTTTCTCGTCTCATATCTCACGAGGACAAGACTGTGCGCAGGAATGCTGTCATGGCTCTGGGCGTCATGTCTTCTAACAGTACGTAGAGTACAAAAATAGGCACAAATCAAATCAAAGAATGTTCAGCAACATATTTTTTTTTTGGCATATTTAAACAGATGAAGTTAAAAAGTGTTTGAAGACACTGGATGTGATACCTGCAGTCATCAGCAAACTGTCACCTGAAGGTACATGCTTTTTATTTATTTTCGGATTCAATGTGGATTATATATATCTACACACACTGCTTTCATTTCTTTGGTACATACCTGCCTCCTTCTTTTCCTCAGAGAATGTTGTGGTCCATGAGTTTGCCACATTGTGTTTGACGTCATTGTCAGTGGACTTCTCCTGCAAGGTCCAGATATTTGACCACAACGGACTTGAACCTCTTATCCAGCTCTTGTCTAGCCCGGATCCTGATGTGAAGAAAAATTCTGTGGAGTGCATATTGAATCTTGTACAAGTAAGACAACAGATGTCAGACTCAGACAGACATTCTGCTATGAATCAGACTATAAGGCATTTGTCAGGGTGGTATTATATAGCACTAACAAAACACAGTTGTTAGATGAAAATTGAATTTGAAATGATTTGTGTTTTCCATGATGTCATAGAAATTTGATCAGATTTAAAAGCATAACCCTTTGAATTCTCAGAAGGACGCTGTTAAAATCAATTGTTTGTGTTCTTTATTGCTTTGTGCCCACTCAGGACATTCAGAATCGTGCGGCTGTGCAGCGTCTAAATGGACTCCCCCCACTTCTGGATCTGCTGCGCTCAGAGTTCCCAGTTATTCAGCAACTTGCACTGCGCACCACAGAGATCATCACCACTGACAGTGACACCCGTGTGGCCTTTAGAAATGCACAGGGCTTTGACAGAATCCTGGAGCTCCTTGCAACCAAAGTAGGCTAATTATTCTCATCTGAATTATTCATGAGCATTTAGCCGTTTCAAACGGCTCCTTAGTCACCTTCATTACGAGCAATCAAACTTCTTGTACGCAAGTTGAGGACAATTCAAGCGCTTCAATCAAAATCAAGCAACACATGATTGAGCAGTAATGGCAGCGGTGTCTCCATCCCTACAGGAGTTTAGTGATCTTCATGAGGGGGCTCTCAGGGTTATCTGTAAATGTCTGGAAGACAGCGAGTCCATGCAGCTGATTCAGACGATGGGCGGTCTGGAACAGATACTGCAGTTTGTTGGCGCGGCCACACTGCCTAAAGCAGGCTAATGCAGTCAAAGCCATAGCCAGGATGGCACAGAGCAGTAAGAAAAAAATCTATACTTTTTTTTTGACAATGACAGTTTGTGCTCTACATTCTGTTAGACAACATGTTAAACAGCTTGTCAATATGGCTGTGCCATTAAAAGTACATCTCTTTTCCTTACGTAAAATGAATTTTAGTACCTTAAAGATGTACTTTGCCCATAAATGAAAATTCTATCATAATTTAATCGGCCCCATGTACTGCATCTTCGAAGAGAAGATCTTTTGAGAAAGGCCTCTTTTTTTGAAGCCAATGGTCATTGTTTGAAGCCAATGGTCACCAAAATGGCTTGGTTACCAACATTCTTCTATTTATTTTCTACAAAAAAAAAAAAAGTCTGCATACAAAAGTAAGCAGCGTCACTGAACACTGATTGACAACAGAACCGGAAGAGAATTCAATGCTGAATAAAGTCATAGTTTTTGTAATTTTTGGACCAAAGTGTATTTTTGATGCTTCAAAACATTTTAACTAACCTACTGATGTCACATGGACTACTTTGATGATGTCTTTATTTTCTTTCTGGACAAGGAGAGTAGAAACTAGTATAAAGCAAAAGACAGTGCAGGGTTTTTTTCTCGAATTGAATTGTGTAAAAATGTATCTCTTTTTTTTCTCTCCATGAAGATGAGAACAGAAACATTCTGCATAACCGGAATGTAGAAAAAGCCCTCACTGAACTTCTAATGCAGGAGAATGAGAGTGTACGTACTGCTGTTTGCCATGCTGTGGCAGCAATGAGCAAAAACCTCTCCAGCAAGGAGACCTTCAGATGCTTGGGTAATCTCATTTACATCAAGTATCCAGAGTTATTTCCATTTCCATTTAGCTGACGCTTTCATCCAAAGTGACTTACAATTGCTATATATGTCAGAGGTTGCACGCCTCAGGAGCAACTAGGGGTTAAGTGTCTCACAGTGGATTCAAACCCGGGTCTCTCACACCAAAGGCATGTGCCTTATCCACTGCAACATCACCACCCCTATTTCCATTTTTAATTCAATCTGTCTTTAGTTTTGTTCAATTCATCATCTTGTCCTTTTGTGCCATTAAAGAGCTGATGTGTCTGTGCGTTTCAGATGCGATCGGGCCCATTGTGCAGCTGCTGAACAGTGAAGCAAGTGAGCTGAGAACGGCCGCCGCAGAGGCCCTGTCCAGCCTGACCAACAGCAACAATCTCAATGCTTAGTGAGTCACAGAAACAGGATTCTATATTCAATAAGCAGATTGCACAACTCTACAGTAATGTACCTTTCTTTTTCCCTTTTCAGTGCTATACATGATGCAGGGGGTGACAAGCTCTTGGTGCAACAGCTGCGAGACAGCTGCACGGGAGCAGCTGTGTATGCGGCATCAGTCTTGACAAACATGGCATCACAGGAGGAGCTGCGCAGAAGCATTCTGGCCCATGAAGCTATCCCAGCATTAGTGGAGCTGCTACACTCCACTGACAACAACACACTCATCAGTGCAATGCAGGCTGTGGCTTCACTGGCCTGTGATGCAGAAGCCAGGCTAGAGGTAGCAGTGCACACCACAAAAGACTCAAAGGTCTACACAATCGCCACCGTTTATAAAAAAAAAACTAACTTTTTTGTGGGTCAGGGGTGTGAAGGACGTAAATGGACACTGTTCTACATTGCATTATGTGCGGTTTCTGGTGATTGTTTTTCTGTTTTACTTTACATGCAGCTGAAAAATGTTGGAGGCCTGTCACCTTTAGCTCAACTGCTTAAATCAGTCCATCCTGAAATTCGGAGAAATGCTTGCTGGGCAATTAGTGTGTGTGCAAATGATGAATTAACAGCCCTAGACTTGTGCAATGCTGGGTAAGCATTTGTTCTGCTTTAATACACTGAATGTTTCAAGTTCAACATTTCTATATATATTACACTCAAATAGTTGATGTTTACAACATTAGAACGAACTGTTAAAGCAAAAGCAGTAGATGGCAGTAAATCCCAAATATCAGAATTTTTGGAAGAAACTGGTTAGGAACAGATTTTGCATTTGTGATTATTTTTCATGACAGTAAAAACAAAACAAAAAAAAAACTTTTAAACATCTTATTTCTGTAATGCATCTGGACATTTGACGCAATTCACATTATTCTCAGTAGTAGCCATTTTCATTATATTGTAATCACAGTAATTTTTGTATTTAAATCCATTGAAAAACATGAAGTACATTTGAATAAATAAATGGAAGAACAACAAATACCACCATCATACAAAAAATAGTTTAAATAATAATTTTAATATTTTTTTTCTCACACTTTTTATCATTTCATAGTATAATATCACAAATATATACTACTAATAATAATAAAATATTGATGGTGCCAAAACATTCTTCATTTCTTTTGATTCGGGGGTGAAATATGACCTGTTTCTGACAGGTTTAGAGAAATTCATTTTTTAAAGATGTTTTTGGCTGTTTAAGGCTAACTTCATTGATTGTTCTGTCATTTGGTTTTGTTGTCATCAATCTTACAGAGCTCTAGAGATACTCCAGGAAATCAACCTGTCACCACACCGTAACAACAAATTTAGTGAGCTGGCACTACAGAAGCTTCTGGACAGCAGTTTATCGTTGAAGTATTGTCTGACAGGACACCTGTCAGCCAGCGATATAACCACTGATGGCTTCTACGACCGTGGACAGGTCCAAATGTTTTTCAAGAGAAAAATAAACCCTCAATCGTAGAGGTTGCACAAATCAATAACTCTTTCTCTTTTCTCTTCCTCCTTCTGCAGATAAGAATGGGCCATCAGGTTCCTAGCTTAGAGGATATATCAAAACAAGGGGTCAACCAACATCGAGCCATTATTGCGGTTAACGGGAAGCCCCCGGATCAGTATGTTAAGGCCAAGGGTTAAATCTAAACTTACTGTTTCAAATTTCTGTCACATGAAACTTCTTCGAATGTCAAACATTGTGTGAAACAGTTCCACAAATAGCAGTTTTCTTCACTGATTCAGTGTATTCTTAGTCATTTTGAGGGCACACCTTTTCATTAGTATTTAGATCTCTTTTCACTTCTGCAATCTCACTTTAATGACCAAACAAGCTCTTTGTGGAGAATAAAGACTTTCAGAGCCCGTCCTCTTCCACGCCATTAGTTCTACAGCACACTTGAATATTAAATACCTCTGTTGCACAACACATAGATGTAGATAGATGAATTTCTACCCAGGAAAAATTATCTTGCACGCATTGGAATCTGGCCTAGAGTTCCCACTGGAGACTGAGGCACATCACAATTTATGCTCAATTTAAGTTAATTACATTTAATGATTCTAAATTGTGAACAGAACTTGACCGCTTTCATTTTTTTTTTGTGTGTGTGTTTGTGGATTCGGTTCTACCATACAAATTCGTCGATTGCCAAGTGAGCGCATAGGTCGTTTGTTCCACAGCTCTAGGGAATGTTGTGATGGACTTTGCTGTTTTTGCTTAGTGGTTGTTAAGGTTTAAAAATGCTCATTCTCTTTCTCTTCGATCAGATTTATTACCAAGGGACCAGATGATCGTAAGCCAGACAGTCCAACAGAAACTACGTCCTCATCTGTTATGAGCAGCACAAGGAGCAGCAAAACACCAAGGTTTGCGTGTTGTGTATACTTACAACCCCAAATCAGAAAAAGTTGGGACATTTTGTAAAATGCAATAAAATTCAAGATTCTGTGATTTGTTCATTCTATTTAACCTTTTATTAGCTGACAAAAGTAGTAAGAAACATTTTCCAATTTTTAATAGAAAATCTGTACTCACAAACCAGTCCAGGCAAAGGGTCAAAAATCCAGAAAGGCAGTCCAAAACATAAAACAAAACAAGAAGCAGACTACCGAAGTGTGACAAGGAATCCACAATGAACACAGAAACAGACAGGGTATAGCCAGGTACAAATGATGTGAGTGCACAGCTGAGAACAATGATCAGAAAGTGACAGAACAGGATGATGGGAAATGCAGTTCCAGATAGTGAATGACACCGTGGGGAAGGAGGATATCTAGTGGACACCTGGGGAACACAACCCAACACTGTGACACATAATTGTATTATGTAAATATGAATAAATTTTGATTTTGATGGCTGCAACACACCCCGAAAAAGTTGTGACCAAAGAGACCAAATAAAAGTGAAAAGATTATCCAAATTTGATTATCCAACTATTTTGAAACAGTCCACAATGAGCAAGTGAATTGGTAATAATTGAGGTGTAAAAGTGCTTCTCAGTCTTTTTAAGCAAGATGGGTCATGGCTCATCACTTTGTGCCAAATATATATAGAGAGAATTGTCAAACAATTTTAAAAAATCACATTTCTCAATGCAAGATTGGAAAGCATGTATTTATTTATTAGAAAGCAGGGATGTGCCTGCCTGTTTCTGCAGTCCAGATATGTCTCTTATGGAAAATGTATGACCCATAATGAAAAGGAGAATCAGGCAATGATGACCACAGACTGTTGAGCTTGTGATTGTGCAAATATTCCACTAGCAAAACTCCAACAATTAGTATCCTCAACTCCCAAATGATTCAAAAGTGTAATTAAGAGGAAATGTGGTAAACATGTCGCTGTTCCAACTTTTTCGGGGTGTGTTGCAGCCATCAAAATGTGTTCATATTTTTGTTTGAAAGTGAAAACATTGGAAAACTTTTCTTTGTACTTTTGTCAGTTAAAAAAAAAAGTTAAAGGAATGAACAAATAACAGATTGTTGATTTTATTGCATTTTTACCAACTTTAAAATGCAACAAAAATGGTTGTAGATGGGTTTCCTGTAAACCATGTTTCTCACTCTCATCTCCCTTTCTCAAGTAAAATGAAGGGAAAGGGTAACAAAGAGGATGAGAAAAAGAAGGATGAGGATGAGAGTAAGTCACAGCAGGAGACGGTGGTAGATGAAGCATGGAGCTTTCCGTATGACGCTGCATTTCATAACCTTCTCAAGGAGGCTGTCGAATCCATCTCGACACTTCAGGATGAGGTCAAAATGTATACGGCTTTGGCCATGTGAGTTTTTTTTTATTGTCATCCCTTATTCAACATCCACATGGCTGAAATGTGACAAGTGATCATTTCTCACAGGTTAGTGTGTGAGGCAATGGGTGGCCAAGTTGAGCCAGAGAAGCTGCATGACTTCCTATGGGAACTGCACATTAGTGAGCTGAAGTTTGAAGCCTGTTCAAACATCGTTCTCATTGGAAAAATAAAAAAAGGCACCTACTTTCATAGAGCGTTGCTTTTCAAGGTAATTTATGCTCCAGAGACCCTTTCTTTGCTTGACTGTGTAAATAAAATAAAACTGACCTGACAGTGACTTTGCTTAACCAAACACATCTTCAGGACTGTAAAATATTTTGTGAATATATGTTGGGATATGTCCCCATAAATGTCTATGGTGGTTATGAACTTGATTGCAGCCCATTTCTTTGTAAGGGATTAATTGCAATACCTTTCAGGTTCTTGCAGACCGAATTGGGCTGAGCTGCAGTCTTATTAGAGGAGAATACAACCGTGCCTGGAACGAAATCCTCATCACTGGTCCAAAGAAACGTCATGGATACTCTAAGCCTGAAAGCTATATTATAGATCTCATGCACCAACCTGGAAACCTCATGAAAAGCAACTCACCAGCTGCTCTTGCATATCAGACCATTTAATAGCAATATATGGTGTCTTGAGTAACAATAAGGGGGGTGGAAGCGGTTAAAGGGTTAGTTCACCCAAAAATGAAAATTCTGTGAGTATTTACTCACCCTCAAGTTGTTCCAAACCTCTATGTGTTTATTTGTTCTGCTGAACACAAAGGAAGATATTTGGAAGAATGTTTTAATCAAACAGATCTCATTCCCCATTGACTACCATTAGATCTCATTCCCCATTGACTACCATAGTATGTATTTTTTCCTACAATGGTAGTCAATGGGGAATAAGATCTGTTTAATTAAAACATTCTTCCAAATATCTTCCTTTGTGTTCAGCAGGACAAATAAACACATAGAGGTTTGGAAAAAAACATGAGGTTGAGTAAATACTGACAGAATTTTCATTTTTGGGTGAACTATTACTAACCCTTTAAGGCATATTTTAATTATTATAATCTGTTGAAGTGAATAAAATTTCAATAAAGTATTATCAAAACTAATGTGTACTCTGGTCAAATCTACATTCCATTGAATTATCTCTGATGATAGTTGAGGAAGTCTACGTTTCTCTTCCAAGGTCAAAGTCTCAATAATGCCCTATAAAGCGAAAACATTCTGATAAGACTAAAATTTGTAAAATCTTCGATATATGAGGCGGTTTTAGTCTAGTTACAAAGGGTGCAAAGTTTGATCAGTGTCAGCCAGTCGACCGTGACCCATAAAGTGTGAGAGTTGTGACCGTTTTCCGGTGGTCGAGCTGTGAGGGGGGGGAATGAAGAGAAGACAACTGAGCACATTTCAGCTTCTTTTCAGTCTATTTAGCCCATGTTAACTAGTGGAGAAAGTCACTGCATGAAATAATATGTCGAGAAAAATGTCACGTTTACTAGTTCGCATCTCATCTATCGTTTCCAGCGGAGCGACTGCCAAATCAATTTTACCTCAAAAAAGGATATTTGTAGGGATTCGGATGATTTCCACGTCAACCGGTAGGGCTTTATTTCGAACTACATTATGCCTCAAGATATTCTTTCAATTAATTGTATTATATTTTGTGTACTTAAATGTCTGTGCAATTGCGTTTAGTTATCTTGTGAGTCGGTGCAAAGTGCAGTTATTCTAGTCATGTAGTTCAGAACATGCATGCGTGACCTGATTACTCAAATGCAGTGTTGGCTTTTGAGAAAGGCCTGAAAAACGAACAGATTGTGTGATGCATGAGTTTTCAAAAATAAAATAATAAAATCAACCTGTGTTGTTAATAGAAATCCAGCTGTTAACTGATAATGATCTTAATTTTTATAAGTAAACAATATTAGTTATTTTAAAGATACTTTAGATAGCCTATTATAATTGTATATATACATTTCTTGGATATTATTATATCAGATTTCTTTTGTTTTCAATTGATATTTGAGACAAACCAGCTAATGCCACAAATCCAATACTATTAAATCAGTGTTGTTGATAATGGTGTTGTTTTCTCACCAGAAATGTCACTTCCTAGAGAATGATGTCATTTAAGACCAGACTTTTGTTAAAGGGATATACAGAAGACCAACATGATGGAATGTGAAACCTGTAAACCTGAAGAAGAAAAAAATGAAAATGTTACTGAAAACAATATTCCCAAGATGACATTTAAAACACTTTCTTTATAGGGAAATGTAAAAATAAATAAACATATGGATTACTTCTTAATAAACTGCTTCTATTTTTTTATACAAATATTTACAAATTGCGGGTTTCATGTGTAATCCAGTGTACTGTACATATGTGATAGGGACAAAAATGTACTGCTTTTATGACTGTTTGCACAGGCTTGCAGTCATTGACACGTTATGACCAGTCCATAGATTGGCAGAGGAAGCTGACCCCAGAACAGTATGTTGTTATGAGAGAAAAAGGCACAGAAGTGGTAAGTTAAAGCAATAAAAATGTTTACAGAACATTATGCAAGATGCATGTGCAAAATTGCACAAATATTTTCTTTCCATATTTTTTTTATGAAAGTACATCACTTTTATTTTCTAGCCATTCAGTGGCATCTACCTGAATCACAATGAGGTGGGTATGTACCACTGTGCTTGCTGTGACTCCCCTCTTTTTAGGTAAGAATAAAAAAATACAATTAAAATTGTGTAATTCTACTTTAATACACGCTGATACTTTATTGACAGTATTTAAAATTATTAAAAAAATAAATGTATATAAAAATTAAATTAAAATCTATCTATCTATCTATCTATCTATCATCTATCTATCTATCTATCTATCTATCTATCTATCTATCTATCTATCTACCTACCTACCTACCTACCTACCTACCTACCTACCTACCTACCTACCTACCTACCTATCTATCTATCTATCTATCTATCTATCTATCTATCTATCTATCTATCTATCTATCTATAATAGCTCAGAAGCAAAATATGATGCAGGAACAGGGTGGCCGTCCTTCTCAGAGGCTCACGGGACATGGGAAAAAGACGAGAGTCATGCCAACATTGTCCGTCGCCCTGACAACTCGCTTGGTAGCACAGGAACAGAGGTTATCTGCAAACATGTGAGTGCAGGACAAAATTGTCATCCAGTTGGGTTATTTTATTGGCAATGATATAACATACAATGTAACAAGTAAAAATTTCAATCTTTATTTTAGGTTCCCAGATACCATTGATAACATGTCATTTTGTTTTATAGTGTGATGGCCACCTTGGACATGTCTTTGATGATGGTCCAGATCCGACTGGCCAGAGATTCTGCATCAACAGCGTAGCTCTAAACTTTAAGCCCAGAGAAAAATAATGCAGAGACAGTTATATCACTGGAAAGGATTTTACAGTTATACACTGAAAATAAAGAAAACAAATAGCCTAGCATTTGAGTAACACATCTTCATTGTAGTATGATATAAGTTACAGTTTACAATGTTTATTTTGAAAAAAAAGAAAAAGAAAGAAGCTTGTGAAGGTTGTGTGTAAGAGAAAAAGTGGTTGATTAAACATCCTATATCTCTCACCTCAAAAAAGGTGTCATTATTTTCCTGTCCACTGTAATGTTGCATTTTGATATCTGCCGGTATGAAAATGCACATGCTTACTGTTACAAATAAGTGTTCCAAAGGTTCCATGGATGTAACTTTCCTTTTCAGAATGCACTGTAAAAAAAATTAAAAATAAAAAAAAAATCATCAATAAAACGTCAAATATTGAAGCATGGTCAAAGGTGACGCCTTGGGGTATGAATGCGTTGCAGCACTTCGTGTGTTTTTACATTGTTTTAACTCATCAAAACAAAGTTATACAAGAATCATCTAACTTTATAAGTCAGTTTCAAGTTGATTACTTAAGGCAGCAATTTTTTTCAATCTTTATGCCAAAAAGTTTACATGTTTGGTTGTATTAAGTGAACATTGTTAGAAATCGACAATATGTGTATTTGTGTGAGTTTGTCGAGTGGTTAATGATAAACCTGAGAGGGTCATCATCCTAATCTGTTATGTGTGGCAACACTGGACAGTTGACTGACTCTTATTATCAAACTTCTAATAGAGCTGTAGAGGAGGATTGGTAGCCTATAAAAGGTTTTAGTAAAGGAGAATAGATAAAAAACACAGCTGATTTCATGATTCGCTTCTGGCTCCATCTGTTCTTTGTGCTCGTGTGTTTCGGCTTCTGGGAGCCTGCCGAGGCACGAAGAGCACGTTATAAATCACCATCACCATCAACAGAGAAAAAGAAAACCGAGGCAGAAAAAACTATTGAAAGACTAGCTCCAGGTCAAAACATCAACATTGATCAGGTATATTTCAACATGTTATCATAGCATTTAAGTTATTTCGTTTTGGCAAGCTGAATAAAAGATAGCATCATTTGAACATTATTCACATTGATAGGCCATTAAACTTGCCCAGTGTTGTTTCAACAGACTGCAGATATGTTTCTTCATTAATGCAGTATGCACAGTTTATTACTGAATTATATATACACTATCTGATATATAAGATTGAAAAAAGAACCCCTCTCTCTAGATGAGTGGGAAGTGGTACCTGCTTAGTGTTGCATCACGGTGTAGGAATCTTCTGGAGAGCGGTTTCAAAGTGGAGAGCACGACTGTCACTTGGACTATAACTGGTGCCAAGGTGTCTGTCAGCACTGTGAGAAAACTGTAAGTACTCCTTCAGTCACAAGGGGGAGCAATTTACTGAATTCAAGTACTCCAAGCTGATCTTAGTTCACTTTATAATGTAGTATGATTACTTTCAGATGGTCCTTAATTACATCTTGGTTATGAGACTTAACAAGATCAAGATTTTTTTTAATTTATTTATTATTTTTTTTATCACAAGCTCAAACACAAACTCGCCAGTCTAATCACTAGTCAGAAGTTATGACTAGACCTGTTTAATAAGCCGCCTATGCTTGCTATTATTTAAAGGGTTAGTTCACCCTTGGTAGATTTCATTAAAAATAGGCCTATGAATTTGTGTTTTGAAGATGAACGAAGGATTCAGGTTGTTGACAATGACAGTAATTAATGACAGAAATTGATTTTTTGGGTGAACTATCCCTTTAAATAGTTATGTATAGTCCCCTAAAGTCAACTATGGACCTATAACAACTTATAACAACAATAATCAGACAATATGGCTACTATTAAGCAATGTCGCCCTTGCTATTTCAATAGTAAAATTTTGTCTAGTCCCGTTTAGTAAATGCAACTAACCTAATAAGCAGTTAGTCAGAAATCTAGAATATCAATGTTCCCCATTCTCCATCTGTATTTAACCCTGAATGCAGATTTATGGAAACAAAACATGGATTCAACAATCCATTCCAGAGATGATCAGAATAAAATCAGATATAATTATTTATTATTAGTCAGGTAAATTATAAACCTAATTGAGGATAGAAATTGAGACCCTGCAGGATACACCCTCCACAGTAAGCAGTAAGCTATCTCTAAACTTCTGAAACCTTTATTATCTTTTGGTTTACTTCTGAGGCAATGAGATTTCAGTTGATCTCAGCATGTTGTAAAGAGAGGGAAGAAGAGAGAAATGCAGATCAAACAGGTGTGAGTGTGATTGCTCCTCGCATGAAGATTCTAATTTTGCAAGAGAGAGTTCAAATGTTAATTTGCAGATAAGTCCTTTGTTTTCTCAGAGAATAGTCCTAGGCAGCTCGGCACCAGCAGCCTTGCACTGTCAGTTGGATAGTCAAGAGACAACTTGCTTTCTCAAAATAATTAGTGTCCAAGCTAAGACATGTCTAAAATATTCTATCATTCAAATTAAAAATACAGAAACATAAATAAATATGTAATAATAAATATACATCATCCATTGTGCTTTCCCCCCTTTGTTAGCAATTTTGAGTGCTGGGAAATCAAGCAAGACTACATGAAAACAAAGACCCCAGGCCAGCTCTTTCTCAAAGGTAGAACTCCACTAACAACAACCAGAGTTCAAAGTCTGTCATAATACCACTAACTGATGGGTTTTTTCTTAGTTGTGAAATTTTCATTGACTGTTTACATCTGACATGTTTGGGAAAAAGCTCAGATAATCAGCAATGTTGAAGTATAATACTTTATAATATAATAAGGTCTTTTGAAAGTAGACCTATATGTTTAACTCATTAACATTTTGGTTAGTGATATTGAGGTTATGGTTAGGATTTTGTGTCATTTGTTTATGCTTTTATTACTGTAGCCTATCAAGGACAGGAACAAAAAGTGTTACCAGCATTTCTTCCGATACTGTCCAAATTGCTGTCTTCTTTTCAAACAGTATCCAGTGTTCATAATTTAAACAGTAAAAAACTTGGTTTAATTTTTTATATAATATGTAATTCAAATATTAATTGTCAAAATTATTTTATCATCTTCTTATTCATACAGGTAAAAGACCTGCTGAGAATTTGGATATAATGGTGCTTGAGACGGACTACAGCTCATATGCTATGTTGGTTTTGAAGAGAGCAAGGAAAATTACCATGAAACTTTATGGTAGGCGTTCTAGTGTCTATTTTAAACTTATTACACCCTATCGTTATGATGACATATGTTTGTAGTATTTTCATAGGGTTATCTATCTAGCCAGCCCATTCTCACTCCCAAGGCGTCACCTAACTGACGCCTTGGGAAGCATTTGGACATGCTTCAATATCTGACGCTTTAGGCGCCCTTTAGCGTCAGTTAGATGACGCCCTAGGATCGCGTGTACCCTACACCCACCCCACACCTAAACCTAACCGCGTCCTCAATCTGACGCTTTCCTTTTGCGTCAGTCAGATGACGCCGTAGGATCGCGTCATGTAAGTGACGCTAAAGGGCGCCGTCAAATATTGAAGCATGGTCAAAGGTGACGCCTTGGGGTGAGAATGCGTTGATCCAACACTATCTCACGACCAATTCGTACGAATTCGACGCATGATTAAAAAGTGGCTAATTCGTACTAATTCGTACGACCTCACTCGTACTAATTCGTACGATTTGTCTAAACCCACGTGATGGTTAGGTTTAGGGGCGGGGTAAGAGGTAGGTCATTCGTACGAATTCATACGAATTGGCCAATTCGTAAAATATGTACGATTTAGCAAAATCGTATTCATTCGTACGAGTGAGGTCGTATGAATTGTTACGAATTAGCCACTTTTTAATCATTCGTCGAATTCGTACGACTTGGTCGTGAGATCGGGTTGGTTGATCTAGCTTATAAAAAGCCCACGTGTGTATTACAATGGTCATTTGTAAAATATATTGTGGAGTAGCCTTAGCTATATCGTGTAAAAAATGCATTGTTTCAATAAAATATTGTTGTTGGTTTATTTATTTTTTTATTTTTTTGAAGGACGGTCGAGTGAAGTTCCTGATAATATCGTGGATAAATTTGAGAATCGTGCAAAGACATTAAATTTGGGACTGGACGTCATTTTCCAGTATCCCGACTACGGTGAGACAATTGGACAAATAGCCTAAGTTATAAAATAGTAATGACCAAACAATCTTTTTGACTCGACTCTTTTCCAGGGTTCTGCGAGTCCACAGAGAAGGTCCTGGGTAAGATCTAAATTTGTTTGTTTTTAATAATGACAATTCATTATGTAGGCTACATTTACAGAACGATAGGTTGGCATATCCTTGTTACATTCTAATATAAATAGAACTGCTTTCTGATGTCATATTCGCGAACGAAACGTTATTTTGTAACGGTTCTTTTTTAATGATTCAATCGATTCGCTAAATAATCTACAATCATTACACCATTGACACAATATAAAAAAGTATTTGAATACAGAGTAATAAACTATTTAACTGAATATTTCACTATATATATAAGGCTACGTCTACAATAACACGTAAAAGCCAGCGCGAAAAGTTCTGCGAACTGATTCAAACGAATCGATTCGCTAACTGAATCAGATTTCTTAACTTCTCAGTGGCATTGTTCTGCCTAATTTCGACCCCTTGCCAAATGTTTACCCTCCTCGTTGAAGTCAGTAGACACCACACCCCTAATCCTACCCCCTTTCCTTTCCCACAACTAATCCTAAACCTAGATGCTAGGGGGGTGATAATTTGGCGGGGGTCGAGCGTTGCTTGGAGTCGGGCAACATTTACTGATTGGCTGAAGGGAAATTTACATCCTACAAAAAGAGCCAATCTCCTGCTTGTTAAAATCACGTTTTCTGTTTTAGAGTCATGTGTTGCTAAACTTGCATAACCTCAATTCGGTTTTGTAACTAAAAAAAAAAAAAAAAAAAACTGCATAAATGTTTATAATCTCTATCATTTCTTCTCCACCAGATATGACCTAAGACTGACTGGCCACTATTGTTGACTGTGAGCACTGTGCAAATTACAACAATAAAGTTATGTAATTTCAGGTTGTGTGTGTTTTAAAAATTATATTTTATAGTTTCAACATGAACAATATCATTCAACATAGGCTAATCACTATAATAAGCAGGACCAACACGGTGCATCATCCTAATCCATAATATTAGGTTATATCCTTGGTTATAAGCATTGAAAGTGGTGATTTTCCTTCTTGATAACAAAAACGGTCTTATAAAACAAGACAAAGGAATTTTGTCAGTGTGGTTTGTGATGTAACTCTCAAAACAAGACTCTGCCTGCCCACACTTTTCGGAGTTACACAACACAAGGGGTAAACATGTTGCACATCCAACATTCCAAAAAGTATCCTGAGGAAATAATTTTCTTATGAAAAAGAAATGAATTCATTTATACCCAAAATGAGTTGCTTCTGCAGGACTTGCCCTAATACTTTACACACATGAAAATCAAAGAACAAATGCTGACTTGGATACAATGCATGTTTGATATTTTGCTTTGCATTCTAACAATCACTTTTATTTAGTCTTAATTCAGGCATAATTTCCAGTCTACCATTCAAAACAGGTTGCTGCCTTTTTAAGTTCGATCAACTTGGATATTTAAGTCATTGCAGTTAAATTAATTACATTACCGGATTAATAAAGAAAAATGGTTGAATCTTGAATAACGTTTGTTATTTGTTAAATGCAGGAATATATTAGGCTACATTTTATAAAATATATTAAAAACAGGCTTTTTAAAATTGTAATATTGTAAAATAAAAATTGTCTCAACATTTTTGATCATGATAGCATGATTGCATGTCAGAGACTTTTTACAAAAACATTAAAAATGTTTTGCATGCATGCTGAAGGTTAATCGGGGCATCAGCCCGAGGGGGACAAAAAGTATTAAAAGTGTTCACGAACCCAGATTAGGCTATATGCTACCTGGAAAAATCCACACGTGGATGTTGCGCGTTGTGTAACGACTGTAATTATCATTCCTCCTTTTGGAGGAGGGACTGGAGAAAGGAGGGTTTGGGGGGGCTCACTGAGGATAAAACAGGGGCTGCCATTCGTGTTCTCCTCACAGCCCAAATTTTCCCTCTGAACTGCATTGAGAGAGAGAACCATACACTTCTACAGCCATGACTGTCGCATTGAAGATGCTGTGCGTTCTGCTCTGTGCGGTGTTCGCCTCCGCTGAGGTCATGCCCATGACTGACTTCGACCTGGAAAAGGTAAATTATCTCTTCTGAGTTATTAATACGATTTGAGGAAGTTCTCAGGTTAAGTTGGACTAAACTCTCTGTATTCTCTACAGATGGGTGGAAAATGGTATCTCATCGGCTTTGCTACAAATGCAAAATGGTTTGTCAGTCACAAGGCTGACATGAAAATGGGAACTGCCGTGCTGGTGGCTACCGAGGATGGAGACCTTGACCTCAGTTACGCGAATCTGAAGTAAGCTCAAGTTATCTTTATTGTAGTTTTGATAATGTTCTCATTATTACAAAAGAATATCTGTAATTGCTTCATTTGTTTTTTCAGGAGTGACGGTTCCTGCTGGAGGATGTCGCACCTCGCCAAGAAAACCGAGACTCCAGGACGTTTTGTTTTCCACAGCCAGCGTAAGTCTTCCTGATTTTGCTTTCATCGAATGGTCAGATTGTTTTTTTTTCTCATTATACTTGTTCTTTTGGACTAAATGTGTTCGATTTGATCAGGTTGGCAAAATGACAATGACATGCGCGTGGTTGACGCCAAATATGACGAGTACGCGCTCGTTCACACCATCAAGACCAAGGGAGATGTGTCTGAGGTTCTCAACAAACTTTACAGTAAGAGCTCGCTTTTTACACAATCATTAGATGAAATGTTTTTTGTTTTTTTCACAAATTGCTGAACGAACTCTAAATGTGTTATTATCACAGGTCGCACCACAGAAATTACTGATGACTTAAAGGAGAAATTCAGGCAGTTTTCTTTGGACACCGGCATCCTTGAGGAAAACATTGCCATACTGCCACAAAACGGTACAGTCAATTATAGTCCCTTTCAGTTATAATACATCATACATTATATATTGAACTAATATTTGACTGTCTACTGCTTTTACAGGAGAGTGCTCAGATGCCTGAGGGTCTCTTAAATCAAATAAGGACAAAGACAACTTCAGCTGGACTGATCATTTCATCTGAAAAGAGATCTGAATTTGCTGGCCTTAGTCTGCTGGGTTTTGGTCTTTTTCACTTTGTGCCTTAAACACAGTTATGTTGTTCTCACATGAGGACAAATCAATTTTGTAACTCCAGAGCTTTTTCAAAGGACATCTCAAGCAGGGAGGGAGACAGAATGGCAAAGCATTACCTTATCCAAACGATGCATTTTACTTTTCAGTTGGAACTCATGTTTCTTTACTGTTATGGCAAGCTTTTGATGTTGGTCTTGTCACTAATGCCACACATTTTTTATGAACAGTGCTTTCATTTTTTTTTGTATTTGTGGGTGGTTTGTTTACTGCTGTTGGATTAAATTGGTTTACAAATGACAAATGTTGGCGTGATTCATTCAAATTCTCAATTTTACAAAGAAACAAATAAACATTTTGGGCACAAAATACTGTTTATTACTTCTGTATTTACAAATATTTCTTATACACATAACATAACATCTTTAAGAATCTCTTTATTCCAAATTATACATTTTCAGTATCTGTGTAAAAAATAAAATTTATCCTAAACATCTTAATAATAATAATTATAATTTGAGGGTGAGTTTTACAACAAACAGACCAGAAGCCAAACGGCAACATTCAAGAAATACACAAACGTACTAGCGTCTAAATTAAAACAAATTTAGATTATCAGCCATTCGGCCTGATTTGATGACTGCACACTCTGATCAAATCTCAAGATCTCTTTTTGAAACGGAGAACTATTGTCAATATAATTTTTCTTGTAAATATTACCAAGAAAACCTCCCGTTATTTTCTTTATTCAATATCAGCTGGAATTTTAAATTAACGCACCAACGTTGACTATGCATTTCGGTTTGGATCGGGTTGATTTTTCCCCAAAGCCTATCTGGGCTGAACAGCATTTTTTTCTCTCAAATTATTATTTTTTTTTAAGATGAGCATTTCCAATTCATTTTAATTAGACGTTCTGCTTACCTGAAGCTAAGAAACCAGTCAATAAAGCATTAGCACTTCCGTATTTGTAAACGCATGTGCATATACACGCCACAATCATCAATGCTATTCAAACATGGTTCGTGTAACATGCGATACAGGAGTCATAATTCAAATTTATAACCAGACGCACCAACATAAAACTTAACGTTCACCCTTGATGATTTAATACGCAAGTTTCAATCTATTTTTGCATTTAATCTAAAGCTGGTCAGAACAACGGTTTTAGACTCTCGACAAAGATTGATTAAACTTTGGAGTAATGCGTCTTCGAAACATTACAGCAGTGTAGCTTGTGACCGGACACATTAGTAGGTGGATTTAGAATTTCGCTGAAATAGCCGCTAGCTGGCTTTCCAACGGTCAGCTTTTGGCCCCGAAGACCACCGCCACATCAGAACGGGCCTTTACCTGATGGCTTTCTGATTGGTGTTGCCAAGGTCACATGGTAGGCATTAGGTCTTTATGATGCCGCATGATGTGCTGATTCTTCTCCGACGGTCTGCGGAAGCCTTTCGAGCAGAAGTCACAGCGGTGAGGATAGTCTTTGGTGTGGATGGAGATCACGTGCCTTTTGAAGCCAGACGCATCACCCGTGCTGTAGTCGCAATACTGGCACTGGTACACCCGCCGCTCCCGATGGCCCTTGGACAAACCGGTGCCGCCCAAAATTTTCTTACCCCCATGAGGACCGAGTCCAAATGTCTTCTTAAGACTCTTTTTGTCCGGAAAAGCCTGCTGCTCCTTGGTGTGCACTGACAAAATATGCCGGCTGAGAACAAATGGATCTGCGATTTTGAAATTGCAGTGCCTACACTGGTGCAACTTCTTGGCCTTATGGGCGGCCGAGTGCTTCTTGAGCTCGGATGGCCGGTGGAAGCCTTTTCCACAGACCTCGCATTTATGTGGATAGTCTTTGGTGTGAACTGAAATGATGTGGCGCTTCAGGTCACTGGAATTGGAGCTTTTATGGTCACAGTGGGTGCAATGGTGCGTTTTGGCTTCCTCGTGCGTCAGGCCGTGCTGTAACAGCTCGTCGGGTTCGGCGAACGTCTGGAAACAGCGGTCACACTTGTAGGGCATCTCCTTGCTGTGCTTGGTCTTCACGTGCGTCTTTAAGTTAGACGAGTCGGCCGACTTGTAGTCGCAGTAAAGACAGGAGTAGGGCTTCTCGCCGGTGTGGGTCCTCATGTGTTTCTTCAGCTCCGAAGGATGCCGGAAGCCCTTCCCACATTCTACGCAAATATGAGGGAAATTCTTGCTGTGGACGGCGAGCAGGTGTCGGTTGAGAAGTCCTTGTTCTGCCGTCTCATATTCGCAGAACTTGCACATGTGCATTTTGTTGGTGGGTGGTGAGATCTGAAGCTTGGATTCTCGGTGGTGGTGCTGCAGACGGTGGGAGAACAGCGTCGCCTGCTGGTGGAACTCCTTCCCACACACTTCACACTCAAACGGGGCTTTACTGCTGAGGGTGTGGATCTCCATGTGGTTGTGGAGATTGGCTTTTTTGTTAGTGGTGAAATCGCAGTCCGTACACTGGTATTTCTTTCGGTTTACGACATCCTGATGGTGATTCTTGGCGTGGCGCTTGAGGAAACCACGCGACTTGAACTTCTTCCCACACAGCATACAAGGGTACACTGTAAGAGGCTGGCCATAAGGTCCAATGATGATTGCTGAAGTTGAGAAAGGAAACCAAAATGAATATAATATACTTTACTGTTCAAAAATTTGGGGTTATTAAGATTTTTGAATGCGTTTGAAACAAGTCTCCTTTACTCACCAAGGCTGCACTTATTTGAATAAAAATTCAGTAAAAACAGAGATATTGTGAAATATTATTACTATTTTAAATAACCGTTTTATATTTTCATATAATTTCACATTCCTTTTATTCCTGTGATGGCAAAACTGAATTTCCTGCATCATTACATCATTAGTCTTCAATGTCACATGATCCTTCAGAAATCATTCTAAAATACTGATTTGCTGCTGAAGAAATATTTCAAATCAGTGTTCAAAACAGCTATGCTGCTTAATATTTCTATGAAAATCATGACATATTCTTTATCCGGATTCTATGATGAATAGAAAGTAAGGAAGAACAGCATTTATTTGAAATGAAATCTTTGGAACATTTATAAACATATTTACTGTAACTTTAGTCTATTCATCTCTACGGTCACTGTCACTCTATATATTTTTGGTTAATTTAATGTGTTCTAGCTGAAAAAAAGTTATTTAATAATATATATTTTGAACTAAACTTAATTTATATTAATTATATACATCTATGAGGAAGAGCACAAGTTTGGGGTCAGTCCAATTTTTTAAAAGAAATGAACTAGAGAATTCTGAAAAACTGTATCATGTTTTCTATAAACACAAACTGATTTCTGAAGGATCATGTGACACTGAAGACTGGAGTAATGATGCTGAAAATTCTTCTTTGGCATCACATGGAACAAAAAGTGTATATTTAAAAATATTTAATTAGAAAAAAGTTATTTTAAATTTGAATAATATTTCACAATAGTACTCTTTACCGATCCAATAAATTCCACCATGGTGAGACTTCGTTCAATAACATAAAAAATATCTTAATGTCCCCAAACTTTTGAAAGGAAATGTACTTAACAATTGTAATGAATCAAATAATATAATTAAATTCAATAAATTATATTTAAAAAAAAGCAGTAGAGATGTACCTGTCTGAATGTGACGAAGTTCTGACCGTCTTTTGCTCTTGTTCTTGCTTCGTTGACGACTGAGTCTTTCGATCACGTCAGACTCATCAACGTGCAGCAGAGCGCTGGCGGCTCCATTCCTGTTCTCACAGCTTTCACTCTCCTCCCCACCTGACACACATATATCCCCAACACATTCGTACTATCGATTAAAGATAAATGTATGTATTATAAAGGGCTCAATTATTAAATTGTGATTAATCGCTTAACTTGGTTAAATTAAATGAATGTACTGCATAATATCCATTTCCTTATTAGGAAATGTACAAATGAGTTAGGTTAGGTGACATAAATGCTTTTCCACTGCAGTACCGCTTCAAAGTGGGTGGGATTATAGTCTGACCGTTATACCGTTGACCCCTCGGCAACCAACGAGAGGAACGTCTGCACTTCATCCACAGACCACGATTCAGCTATTTATTTTTTGGAAGTTTTCTTTCTTTCTTTTTTCTTCAACCAAGTAGTTTTAAAACAGGTGCTCCAGCGGTGGCTGTTACTGGCTATTTAAATCTAGGAGGTTTGATGTCTCGCAAATACAATGATGCTGGTAGTGATGATTCTGTCTGACTTTGACCAATCAATGATCTGCAGTGTGTTCACGTCACATTTGAGTATCGGTACGGTACGCTTGGAACCTTAACAGAGGTGGTACCATTTAAAACGAGCCGTACCGTACCGTACCGTACCATGCAGTGGAAAAGGGGATAGAATCCCCTCACCGCTCAGTGCTGAATTCTGTATGCTGGCAAATCCTCTAATTATAACAAAGGAAGTGTGGATATTATTTTCAGCTTCATTGATAAATAATAATAAGATTGCGATGAACTGATGTAATCTTTTTAGGAATTATTAAGGGAGCGCACTTGTGCACTTTCAGTCATGCCAGACCATACACTCAGTAGTCTGCTTGCTTTTATAACAGTGTGGTTTGTGTGTTATTGCTCAATTAATTTAGAATTTAAATTTTTTTAATTAATTTTTAATTAATTTTAGGAGCATTTATGCTGATGTGTATGGTGGCGACACGTAGGCTAACTTGAAAGTATTTGGAGGTATAGAGAAAAGGTCTATTTTTGGGGGGTGGTAGAGGGACAAAACATAAAAGTTGTGGGCGGGAGAAAGTAACAGAAAGTAGTTGAGAATGTCAGTTATAACACTTTTTTTTACAGTGTGTTCAGGGGACAGGCAGCTAGCAGATAGTGAGGAGATGTTTGCTGTATGTGACAAAATGTTTTGGTCTAAAAAACATGTGACATCGCTAAAAGCACCTTTAATGTAGAAAATTGATAGCCATGAATTTTGTTTGTGGAAAACACTGCATAATGCAACTTTTGAATAAGACGTGTATGTTTTTGACTTACTGTAAGCAGCTGCCCAGGCCACGGGCATAAAGTCTTTGCTGAGTGATGCGTTGTCAAGTGTTCGCTGAGGATTTCCCGGGTCCTCACCACCCACCACCACTTCCATGTAGACCTCATCTGTGATTTTAGCCACATCTGTAGACATCAAGAACACACAGTATCAGCAGAGGCACTTGGGGGAAATGCCTTCATAACAAACTGACAGTAAATGGACTCACTGATGTCATCCTGGCTTTGATTGGCTTCATCCATTG